TTGTTTTTTTGTTTTTTTGTTGTTGTTGTTGTTGTTGTTGTTGCAGTGCTGAGGATTGAGCCCAGGGCCTTGTGTGTGCTAAGTGTGCATCCTGCCCCTGAGCTCTATCCCAAACCTCTAAAATTTACATATATGTAAACTATATATATATTTTTTGTAAACTATATTTTCTAATGAGATAGTAGAACTGTATTTCCATTATCCCATAATCCTCAAAATATCTAGCACTCCATAGTTATGTATGTGATGAGTCATATTATAATAGGTAAAATTGTGTCTTGTTTTTTTTTTTTAAAGGTCTACTAAGAATTTTCCTGAATGGATGAGTTATAGTAAACCTAAACCACATAAATTAAAATATCCTTTAAGGCTGGGAGTTTATCCCAGTTAAGTTAAAATGTACAAAGTTCTGGGTTTGATCCCTAGTGCCAAAATAAATAAAAGTTTTAAAAAATCATAAAAATACTGTAAGCCAGGTGTGGTAGTATATGCTTGTAATCCCAGCTAGTCAGGTGGCTAATGGGAGGATTGCAAATTTGAGGCCAGCCTGGGCAATTTAGCATAATCCTGTCTCAAAATGAAAATTTTAAAAGGATGGAGCCAGGCCAGACATAGTGGCTCACATCTGCATTCCCCCCGCACTTGAGAGGCTGAAGCAGGAGAATCACTGCAAATTCAAGGATAGCTTGGGCGACATAGTGAATTCAAGGCTAGCCTGGGAAAAAAAAAAAAAAGAAGAAATAAAGTACGGAGAATATTTATACTGGATAAATATTTTTTTTCCTTTTTAATATATTTAAAAAGAAATAACATTATTTTATTTTATTTTATTTTTGGTTTTTTTGAGAAAGGGTCTCACTATGTAGTTGAGACTGACCTGGAACTCACTATGTAGCCCAGGCTGGGCTCGAACTCACAGCGATCCTCCTGCCTCAGCCTCCCAAGTGCTGGTATTACAGGCGTGCACCGCCACGCCCAGTTTATTTATTTTTTTAATTAAAAAAATTTTTTATATACTGGGTAAATCTTGAAAGTAGCTTATATATTCATCAACAGATGAATAATAGATAAAGAAGATGTGGTCTTTACATACAGTAGAGTACTACTCTTCCATAAAGGATTAGCTTTAGTCATTTGTAGGAAAATGGATACATCATAAGATCATTATTTTAAGTGATAAAAATCAGTCACACAAACTTAAACATCACATGGTTTCTCTGATATGAGAAATTATAGGGCAGGAGGGGATGTGGCTCAGTGGTGCTGCACCTGCCTGGCAAGCACAAGGTCCTGAGTTTGATCCCTGGTACCAAAAAAGAAATAAATTATAAATAAAGAACAAATTAAAAGATAGGTAATAGAAAGTAGGGAGATAGTTCTTTTTCACATGGGAAGGGGATCAAGTGGTGGTGGGAGGAAGAGGGAAGGGAAAGGAGATGAAAAAGGAATTAAGATGTGTTATGTACACATAGCCACTCCTCTTAAGGAATATAAATATTAGGTACTGTAAATATGTGCTAATAAAATTGAAAGCCTGAGGATGTTGCTCAGCATTCCTTGGGCTCAGTTTCCAGCACTGGGGAACAAAGCAAAACAAAACAAAACAAAAAACAATATTGGAGATCAACCTGGAATTTTAGACAATTTTGTATTTTCTAGGTAATGCTTGTGTGTTTTGAGTAGTACTTTACAGTTCTTTCTACCTGAACTCTTCATGTATCTCTGTGCCTTGGGTGTTTCACTTGCCTTTTCTGACAAAGTCATACTGAAAAAAGCAAGCTATTATAGAAATTATACCTATTTTTTCTAATTTATATATTTAAATTTTTATTTTTAAGCATTTGATACTTTAAAACTTACTGACAGGAATATGGTCTAAGCCACTCTAGTCCTTGTGTTTCATATTTGACTTGTTTTATTTATATCTTGGCCATAGGACCCTAATTTCTGATTTTCATCAAAAAGGATTTGTTTTATACAGAGGTAATTATTGCATTCATATAAATGTTTGTGGAAAAGATGCAGAACCTTTCTGTGATTGGCTTTGACCTTTTTTATAGGCTCAACAAAACAGTCCCTCTTCTACGGGATCTGGCAACACAGAGCATTCCTGCAGCTCCCAAAAGCAGATCTCCATCCAGCACAGACAGACGCAGGTAGGTCGGGAATTGATGAACAGTGGAGAAGATCTGCTTGGGAAGAAATCGCACTGTAGAAAAAGTCTTCTCTTCATTTCTTGTACCATACTTTATCAGTTACATGTATTTAGAACTTGTATTAAGAATATTTAAAGCCGGGCGTGGTGGTGCACACCTGTAATCCCAGCTCTCGGGAGGCTGAGGCAGGAGGATCGCTGTGAGTTTGAGACCAGCCTGGGCTACATAGTGAGTTCCAGGTCAGTCTCAACTACATAGTGAGACCTTGTCTAAAAAAAAAGAATACTTAAAGTCCTTTGGAAGTTATTTTTAATGTTTGAGTCCTGTCTTTACCGTTTGGATATATTGTAGCAGAAATGATTATACTGGGCTTCTGGACCTAGGTTCTAATTTGGACTCTTCTACTTAACACTTTCATCTTCCTAGGGTTCAGTTTGTTTTAGTAGCAGTTATCTGTTAAAAAATAAAAGTGGTTGCTTCTAATTATCTCACATAGTGTTTACAAAATCTTTATCAGAATGGTGCTTTAGAGTAGGCTTTCAATAAATATTAATTCCCTTTATTTATTCCTTATATCTGCTTGCTTACTTTTTAAGCCCTATCGAAACTTCTTTGAGATGTACTACATCAACATAAATTCCTTCTTAAAATAAGCACTCTTAAGCAGCTTTTTAATTTAGGGAATGTTGTGAACATTTAAAATTTGTAATTGAGGGCCAGGAATTTAGCTCAGTGGTTCTGCTGCCTGCCTTGCAAGCGCAAGGTCCTGAGTTCGATCCCTGGTACCAAAAAATAAAATAAAATAAAACTTATAATTGAGAAGGAAAATAAATATATCCTGCATTTGTAGCATTGAATTAACTAATAGTATATTGGGTGTTATTGCATTCTTTTTTGGCACCGTCTGTGTTGCTTTCAGGACAGGATGCTTGGCAGTGTAGAATTTAAGTCTTGAGCTGGACAACTCTTTGGAGCAGATTTTAATTTTATCTGCATACTCAGCACTTGGACAGTCAAATAGACAGTTGAGCCCTCAGAAAACATTCATCCACTTCTGATTGCTCCTTCTTTCCACTAGATGGCATTTTTGTTCCTTAGCGATTTGGGCTCTGTCTCCTCTTGATTCCTTTTCTATTCAAAATTAGTTTTACTTCTGGAGTACTGTGTTTCTGTGTTGTTCAATGCACAGTAGTTTGAGAATTTGTATATCTGATTTCAGAACGTGGTTGTGAAGTGCGGATGCAGTGTAATCAAAATGTGATGACATGTAATAATTTGACACTAATCTTAAATTTGTTTTGTCTTTGTCTCTGTAGTCTGACCTCACAATAGAAAAAATATCTGCACTAGAAAACAGTAAGAATTCTGACTTAGAAAAGAAGGAAGGAAGAATAGATGATTTATTAAGAGTAAGTATTAAAATGTAAGAGATTTTATAATAAGCATCAGTTGTTATGTATGTTTGTATTACATGCATATCATAGAAATAATTACTTCAGCCAGACAACAAAGTTAAACAATAAACACTTTGATATTTTCCTTTAATCTGAAGAAATAGGAATAGGAGCCAAAATCATTCCTATGTTCTAAACACTATTCTTAGAATGAAAATCTTATGTTGTAGTATATTAGTATTTGAATTTATACTAGAGAAATAGGTGGAGTGTAGTGCAAAAGGAAGTCCATAGACTGAAAGTGAAAGGATGGAAAACAATTCTCCATGCGTCAGGAGTCCAGAAAAAAGCAGGGGTAGCAATCTTATTCTCAGATAAAGTAAATTTCAAACCAAAACTCATTAAGAGAGACAAAGAAGGACACTACATCCTTGTAAAGGGAACAATTCAAGAGGAAGAGCTGACAATCATAAACATATATGCACCAAATACAAATGCCCCCAACTATATAAAACAAATATTAAGTAACATGAAAAACCAAATAAGCACTAATACAATTGTAGTGGGGGATTTAAATACCCCACTATCACAAATTGACAGATCTACTAGGCAGAAAATCAACAATGAAATAATAGAACTGAACCAAGCTTTGGAACACATGGACTTAATAGATGTTTATAGAGTATTCCACCCCCAAAAACCAGAATATACATTCTTTTCGGCTGCACATGGATCATTCTCCAAAATAGACCACATACTGGCTCACAAAACAGGTCTAAATAAATGCAAAAAAATTGAAGTCATCCCCTGTTTATTATCAGATCATAGTGCAATCAAACTAGACATCAATAGCACAAGAAACTATAGAAACTTCACAAGCACATGGAAACTGAACAACACTCTCCTAAACAATCAATGGATTACAGAGGAAATTAAAGAAGAAATTAGACAGTTTTTACAAATAAATGAGAATGCCAATACAACATACAGGAATCTTTGGGACACAATGAAAGCAGTTCTACGTGGAAAATTCATAACATTGAATGCCCACACTAGGAAAACAGAGCGGGCTCAAATAAACAACTTAACGATGAAACTTAGACTCCTAGAAAAACAAGAGCAAGAAAAACCCAAAGCTCGAACAAGAGAGGAAATTATAAAGATCCGAGCAGAAATCAATGCAATTGAAATTAAGAAAACGATACAAAAAATAAATGAAACAAAGAGCTGGTTTTTTGAAAGAATAAATAAAATTGACAAACCCTTAGCTAATCTTATCAAAAAAAGGAAAGAAAAGGCTCAGATCCATGCAATTAGGAATGAAAAAGGCGAAGTCACAACAGATCCGAAAGAAATCCAGAGGATCATGAACACCTACTTTGAGAACCTGTACTCTAATAAAATGGAAAACACAGAAGAAATGGACAGATTTCTAGATACTTATGAATTACCAAAGTTGAACGAAGAAGATAAAAACATTTTAAACACCCCAATCACAATCAGTGAAATTGAAAATGTAATTAAAAACTTACCAACAAAGAAAAGCCCAGGCCCTGATGGATTCACTGCTGAATTTTACAAGACATTTAGAGAAGAACTACTACCATTACTCTTCAAACTTTTCAATGAAATTGAAAGAGAAGCTATACTTCCAAATTCATTCCTGGAAGCAAGTATCACTCTGATTCCCAAACCAGAGAAAGATACAACCAAAAAGGAGAACTACAGACCAATCTCCTTAATGAATATAGATGCAAAAATCCTTAATAAGATACTAGCAAACAGAATACAGAGGATTATTAAGAAGATCATCCATCATGACCAAGTCGGATTTATTCCAGAGATGCAAGGGTGGTTCAACATACGAAAGTCAGTGAATGTAATACATTATATTAACAAAGTCAAGGACAAAAACCATATGATCCTCTCAATAGATGCAGAAAAAGCATTTGATAAAATTCAACACCCATTCATGATAAAAACCCTGCAAAAAATTGGAATAGATGGTCTATACCTCAATTTAATAAAGGCTATTTATGAAAAACCATCAGCCAACATCATATTGAATGGCCAAAAACTGAAAACCTTCATGTTAAAATCAGGAACAAGACAAGGATGCCCACTATCGCCACTTCTCTTCAATATAGTTCTGGAAACATTAGCCACAGCAATTAGACAAGAGAAAGAAATTAAAGCAATAAAGATAGGAAAGGAAGAAGTTAAACTATCATTATTTGCTGATGATATGATACTCTACATTGAAGATCCAAAAAACTCCACCAAAAAACTTCTAGACTTAATTGACAGATTCAGTAAAGTATCTGGATACAAGGTGAATACCCAAAAATCAATAGCCTTTCTATACACAAATAACAGACAGACAGAAAGAGAAATAAGGGAAAAAATTCCTTTTACAATAGCATCCAAAAAAATGAAGTATCTAGGAATCAATCTAACAAAAGAAACAAAAGATCTCTACACTGAAAACTACAGCACTCTGAAAAAAGAAATCGAAGAGGATATAAAAAAATGGAAAGATATCCCCTGCTCCTGGGTAGGAAGAATCAACATAGTGAAAATGGCCATACTACCGAAACTGCTATATACATTCAATGCAATGCCAATTGAAATTCCAACACTATATTTCACAGAACTAGAAAAAAGAATCCAAAAATTCATTTGGAACCACAAGAGACCTAGAATAGCAAAAGCCATTATAGGCAACAGTCACATGGCACCAGGTGTAACAATTCCCAATTTGAAACTATACTACAAAGCCACTGTGATAAAATCAGCATGGTACTGGCAAAGAAATAGGCCTGAGGATCAATGGAACAGACTGGAAGACACAAAAACAAATGCAGATGTACTCAGCTACCTCATCTTCGACAAAGGAGCTCACCATCCTCAGTGGAGGAAAGATAGCCTCTTTAATAAATGGTGTTGGAAAAACTGGATATCAACCTGTCACAGATTAAAATTAGACCCTTATCTTTCGCCATGCACTAAATTAAAATCCAAATGGATTAAAGATCTAAATATTAAAACAGAAACATTAAACTTGCTGGAAAGTAAGTTAGGCAGAACTCTGGAAGACATTGGTATAGGAAAAGACTTTATGAACAAATCCTCAGTAGCACGGGAACTAGCAGAAAGAATCAACAACTGGGATCTCATCTTACTAAAAAGCTTCTGTACTTCAAAAGAAACCATTAGCAGAACTAAGAGACAATCTACAATGTGGGAAAAAATTTTTACCAGCTGTACCTCAGACAAAGGACTATTATCAAGGATATATAAAGAACTCAAAACAATCAGTCCCCCCAAATATAAAGACCCGATCCAAAAATGGGCATCCGAAATGAACAGACATTTCTCATACAAAGAAGTGAAAGCAGCAAGAAAATATATGAAAAAATGTTCCACATCACTGGTCATTCGAGAGATGCAGATGAAAACAACACTGAGATTCCACCTCACCCCACAAAGAATGGCTGCTATCAAGAAATCACACAATAACAAATGTTGGCGGGGTTGTGGGGAGAAAGGAACCCTCCTCCATTGTTGGTGGGAGTGCAGACTAGTGCAACCACTATGGAAATCAATATGGAGATACCTCAAAGAGCTTGGACTGGAGGTTCCATTTGACCCAGCCATCCCTCTGTTGGGTATCTTTCCAAGAGAACTAAAAGAATCATATCACAGAGAAGTATGTGCACCCATGTTTATAGCGGCACAGTTTGTAATAGCTAAATCTTGGAAACAACCTATTTGCCCATCCGTTGGAAACTGGATAAAGAAGTTGTGGTTTTTCTATAAAATGGAATATTACTCAGCCATAAAGAGCGAGAGAACAGATTCATTCATAGGAAAATGGATACATATTGAAGATATACTCCTAAGTGAAATAAATAAGTCCCACATGTGTAAATACCAAATAGTTTCCCTGGTGTGAATATTCTGCAACAATGCATAAGATTCTAATAAGATTACTGACATTTAGAAATGGGAGGAAAGGAGCTAAAGGTGTAGGGAAGGTGTGATACGTAGGGGAAGAACAAAAAGGGAAAAGAAAAAAATGTGAGAGAATGAAAAGATGAAAATAAAGTGTTTGTAGATGGGGAGGGGAGGAGGGGGTGAAGGGAGGGCAGAGGTAAGGATAAAAAAATGAGAATCAAGACTTGCCATGTAAAGGTACATGATCCCAACAATGAATGTAACTGTACTGTATCCCTAAATGTACCAATAACCTCAATAAAAAAAAAAAAATAGGTGGAGTGTTATATTTTATGCAAAACTGTGGGAATGAGTATAAATGTTGTTTTCACATTTCAGAGAGAACCCCTGTAAACTTTAACCAGTTTCTCTTAATGATTACATCGTGCAAAATTTGAGTGCACTATCACCACCGTGACATATACTATACATTGGCACAATCAAGATACAGAACATTTTCATAAGTCGTGGTCCTTCGTGTTATTCTTTTATAGCTACACCCACTTCCTCTTACCCCCACTTCCTCCGTAATCTTTGACAGCCAATAATCTAGTCTCCATTTCTGTTACCATTTCAAGAAGGCCATATGAATGGAATCGTGCAGATGCAACTTTTTGGGATTGGCTTTTTTTTTCTTTTCAGCTCATCACCCTTCTTTGGAGATTATACACTTTCTTATTCTGTTCTGTGTATTTTGTATGGTTCTTGGCTTCTATTTCATAAATGAGTCTTTGCATTTTTGTGGAATATGACAGTCATTATTGCTGATGTTCCCTTTCTTTATTTAGAAAATATTCCTTAGGCCAGTGTTTATTTGCTATTTTGTTTTCTTTCAGTTTTGAGGTGAGCAGTGTATAGACTGGTACTTGTCCTGCATCTCCATTGTTTGCACATTTACTTGCATAGAGTTGCTCTTATTGATTTTCGTTGATTTGGGTGATGGTTGAATTGCTATCTAGGATTTATAATGAGATAGCTTGTGAAGGTCAAAAATACCTAGCCAATTCCAGTATCTGCTAGGATTCTGTCCAGAGTAACTTTGTTGGGCTGAACAAGGTTTATAGGCTTATTTTTCTCCTTCCTAACCTCTGTTAACATTGTAGAGATGGTAGAGCTGACTCTGTGGCAGAGTGCTTGCCTAACCTGCCTGAGGCCGCCCTGGGTGCCATCCCTGGCACCAGGAAGGAAATAAGGAATAACAAAAGATGGAAAAGATGGAAAAACTTAAATCATAACGTGATACTGCTTCTTGGATTTAAAATCCATCTGCTCTAGCAGTAGCATGCTCCCCTCTCCACTGCCTCTTCTAGTGCATATTCATATTCTCTCCCTCTCCCTCCCTCCCAGGGTTGAGCACAGCATACTAAGACCTGCTCTGTCCTGAGCCACACCTCTGTTGTGGACTGAGGCTGGGTACAGAGCAATTCTAAAGGGACAGATACGTGAAGAAAGAAGACATGGAAGGGTAGCTGCTAGTTTTTCAAGTTGATTAGAACTTGTGTTTCTGATCTGGAGGATAGACAAAGAGGGAAAGACCATAAGTTTTTATATCTCCTTTCAGGCAGGCAGGAATCATCCGTTGGAGATTTTCCATTTCATGGAAATACTGGATATGGCTGTATTAGGGTCTACTAGGCAGCTCCTGCTCTCCCTCCCCTCCCATTCCCTCACCTTTCTTTCCCTTCCCTTTCCTTCCCTTCCCTCCCCTTTCCTCCCCTCCCTCTCTTCCCTCTTCCCCTCCTCCCCTCCTCCCCTCCTCCCCTCCTTCCCTCCTGTCTTCTCTTCTTCCTTTTCTTTCCTATTTCTTTCTTTGTAAGCTTGTACTTCAAATATTAACTCCTAGAAGTCATTTTAGAAATCACAAATATTTAGAATTCCTAAAACTGTCAGAGGTTAATTCTGTACATTTGATAACAGATTTTATAGGAACATTCACTTTCCAAAAGTAGATTGGATTTCACTTAAACACTAGATTATTTTTTGGCTTACAGATTCTTAAGTATGAATAGATAGTCACAATTGTCTAAATATAGTTAATACTTAGCCTTTCATAATGTCCATAAGAAACCCAGTAAAACTGTTAGAGTTATGCTTATTTATTTGAAAAGTAAAAACATTTGGGCATTTCCTGTTTTACACAAGTTACTTTAAAAATAAAGCTAAAAAGTCTCAAAAATTGAGTGTACCGTAATATCTTGTATTTGTGCCCTTTTTTTATTCTTGTTTTTTTTTTTGTTTTGTTTTGTTTTGGTTTTTTTTCTTTTCTTTTTGAGAGAGTCACTATTCCAGGCTGGCTTTGAACTCACTGTGTAGCCCAGGCTGGCCTCAAACTCACAGCAATCCTACCTCAGCCTCTCAAGGGCTGGGATTACAAGTGTGCACCACCATGTCCAGCTCTGTTTGTGTGTTTTAGAAAGGATATCATTTGATTTGGAAATAAGAGATTTTTTTTTTATAATTTGAGGAAGTTATTATAAAGTAACACTATTTGCCAAAAGAGTAGACATCTTTTGGTTAAATTAATTCAGAGTTGCAAGCCAACTTTGACCTTAAGTATTGAGCCCATCCAGTAGGCTTCTGAACAAGCTAAATTAACTATATAATCAGTAGAAAAACATGCCTTCTGGTCACAATTACTTATTGATAACTAAATAATAATATTAAGAGAAAAAGGGATGAATCGTTTACTTTTTATAAAGAAAGATACAGTTTCTCATCGAATTGAACTAAATTTTGCTTTTGATTTAATGACAGGTTAAAATTATTTTTCTTTTTCCTTAGGAACTCCTTTCTATTAATCTAGCTTCCTTGGTACTAATTAAAAAAATATTTTTCCATTGAAGGCCAACTGTGATTTAAGACGGCAAATTGACGAACAGCAAAAGATGCTAGAGAAATACAAAGAACGATTAAATAGGTGTGTCACAATGAGCAAGAAACTCCTTATAGAAAAGGTTAGTGAATAATGGCCTGAACTCCACATCCTGAGGTACTTAATGTGTTTCATTGTGTGGCTCCTTCTTACCTGAAATGAGAACATTAAAAGGTAAGGCTCTTTAGGAAACCACCTCTTGTGATGTGACAATTAGAATTTTTTCTTTGCATGTACACTAAACCAAACCTCCAGAGTGACGATGTGGGACATGTTTTCTGACTGTTTGTTGCTTTGAGTGTGATGCTGACAGTTTATCCTACTTCATTTTATTGGTCTGTTGCCCCTGTGCCCAACCACTCTCTCTTCATTGTGTGGGGGATCAAACTTTGGACCTTATGCATGCTAGTCAAGGAATCACCAAGCCACATCCCCAGCCTAAGATGTTGCTCTCTTAAATTCATATGTAGTTCAGATTGGTCTGGAAGTTACTATGTAGCCCAGGCTGGATGTAGCCCAGGCTGCCTTGAACTCTCAGTGATCCTCTTGCCTCAGCCTCGTGAGTGCTAGGATTATGGACATGTGCTGCCATACCTGGCTCACATATTGTCTGTTGATGTCTCCTTTGTTTGTTTGTTTATTTTACAGTGCTGGGGACTGAATCTACTACCTTTGTACTGAGTTCCCAGACTTTTTTTTTAGATGGAATCTCACTAAGTTGCACAGATGGACTCCAACATGTAATCCTCCTGCTTCAGCTTCCCAAAGTGCTGAGATTATGGGCATGCACTACTACCACACCCAACCCCCAACCTGGTGTCTCTTTTATTAGAGTAACTGATGAGTTGTAGATTGGCTTTGATGGTTATTAGTTACTATTTCTTGGAAGTTTTTTAGTTTTTTTTTTTTTTTAGACAGGGTCTCACTATGTAGTTGGAGCTGACCTGGAACTCACTATGTAGCCCAGGCTGGTCTCGAACTCACAGCGATCCTCCTGTCTCAGCCTCCCGAGTGCTGGGATTATGGGTGTGCGCTACTACACCTGGCTTGAAAGTTTTTTAAAAAGCAATGCTTCCTAAAGACACTATTTTAAGTTTATGAGCTAGAAGTCTGAGACACAAAGATATCTACTTTCCTTGAAATCTTTGGAGTGCTATTAAAAGAGATAAAAAGCACTCATCTTTCATTGAAAGTGAAATGGATTGTTTTACTGTCGTTGGAGACATTAGGAAGACATTTGCTTTATTCTTCATCATTTTTATAGGAAGGAAACCACTTCTTTCCCATTTTTATGAGAATGAAAAATAAGGCTAAATAATACTAGCATATACTTATTCAGAATCTTTGTTTAGAGTTTGGGATACTTTCTGAAATCAACATAGATTCAACCAATTGTACCAAACTGAACAACATATAGTACAAAAAAACCAGTGCTGTCTCTTTAATTCTTATAGAAAATTAGAATTTCCTTTTTGTTAGGAGTAGGACATAATTATATTTAGATTTATATCCAAAATCAGTTTTCTAAATACAGAATATTTGTTTAATATCTGATATACCATTCTGGAATATAAGGAAACATAATGAAAAATGTTACCACAACTTGGGAGGAAATACTTGCAGATTCACCTTCCAGAGAATTTATGTTCCAATGCATGTAATTTAATAATTAAAAAACATTAAAAATGAACAGAAATCTTGAATGACAGTTTATAAAAGATACATAAAGATATGGCCAGCATACAAAAAGATTTCTCAAAATTATTAGGCATCAGCCAGACTCAAGAACATCAAGAACATCAGATGTGGTGGTTGGTAGCCCAGCTTCTTGTGCTAATGGGAATGTAAAACATTACATCCATTTTAGAAAACTTTTGGGCAATTTCTTATTAAGGTAAATAGATATTTAACACAAGGCCCAGCATAGGATCTGTTCCTGGTATTTACCCAAGTGAAATGAAAGTAAATGTTGACAAGACTTTCACAAGAATATTCAGTTTTCAGAGTAGCCAAAATGTGGATATATATAACACAGGTGTCTGGCACTGGGTGAATATATAAACAAATTGTGTTTTGTTTGTTTCTTTCTTTCTTTTAAATTGTGGTTTGTTCACACCGTGGAAAACCACCCAGCAATGAAAAGGAATTCTCATACATAAGAGCAACATATGTGTATCTAAGAAACATGAAACACTGTTCTTATCCTCAGAATGCTAACAGTCTTTAGAGAGTGAGGGTGGGGGATAAGATACATTCATATGCACCAAGAAACCTATTGAAATAATCAGTGTACTTAAGAAATTCACTAAAGGAAATGAAGGGCACAGGACTTAACTGAGGACTTAGGCTAGAAGAAAGTAGAAAAATGTGTTCTACGTAAGAAAAACTGTAGATACAAATTGCCTGCCAGTTAAAAGTATATAGACTAACCAGGCGTGGTGGCGCACACCTGTAATCCCAGCACTCAGGAGGCTGAGGCAGGAGGATCACTGTGAGTTAGAGACCAGCCTGAGCTACATAGTGAGTTCCAGGTCAGTCTCAACTACATAGTGAGACCCTGTCTCAAAACAAACAAAAAAGTACATAGACTATCTCAGGTAAGTAATATCAAAGTATGATCTCTCGCAGTACTTAGTTTTTTTCCTCAAGTTCTTTATCACAAATTTAATTATAATTATAAATCAGTATATTCACCCTCTAGGTGATAAACACCAGCAACTCCCCCCTTTCTCTTATAATTCCGGTCATATAATTGATTTCAAGTAAATACACGTGATATGAATGAATCTGGAATGCGTAAGATGTCCTGAGTAAGAACTTAGACTGAACATGTGCCAAGTGATATTTTGAGATGAATTGGTAGCCGTTCTGTAGAATAGGCTGGGTGGAAAAGAAATAGAAAATAGGAAAACAGCTTCCGAGTTAGGGGTTATTATGGTCCACATATGAAATGCTGAATGTTTACCAAGAGAGAGATTGCAGGACCACATATGGTGGCACATGCCTGTTAACCCCAGCACTTAGGAAGCTGAGGCAGGAGAATTGCCCCAAGTTTGAGGCTAGCCTGAGCTATGTAGTAAGACCCTGACTCCAAAATCAAACAAAAAATAAACAAATTGCAGTTCTTCACTATCTTGTCATGTCCACTTTGTTTAACAATAGTATGTCATCAAAGGAGTCACTTCTGACTGTTCTGAGTGTGGCTTTTCCAAAGTATTTTCCTTTATGCTCTTATAATCTGAGTTTCAAAAAGTGTCTTTGTCAGGGCTGGGGATTTAGCTCAGTGGTTCCACTGCCTGCCTCGGAAGTGCAAGGACCCAAGTTCAATCCCTGGTGCCAAAAAAAAAAAGTGTCTTTGTCTATGGTAACTGATATTGAATTCTTTTTTTTTTTTTCCTTTCCCCTTAAGTCAAAACAAGAGAAGATGGCATGTAGAGATAAGAGCATGCAAGACCGCTTGAGATTGGGCCACTTTACTACTGTCCGACATGGGGCCTCCTTTACTGAACAGTGGACAGATGGTTATGCTTTCCAGAATCTTATCAAGTAAGTGAGCCCAATTAAATGAAGAATTGAAAAATTTGGATTTTTTTAAGTTTTCTGTAATTATAGTAATTAATAAATTGCAGTAGTGATAGTCATTTCATTTTTTTTTAAATTGAGTTTATTATTAATTTTAGGTATATAATACATTGACATTCATCATTGAGAATTTGTACCTTTACATGACAGATCTTGGTTCTTATTTTCTCCCCATTCCCCTGCCCTCCCTTCAAACCCTCCACTCTTTCCTATTCACAAAGACTTTGTTTCCATTTTTTCCTTTTCTCATATTTATTCCTTTCCCTTCTTTCCTTTACCCTATCCCTCCCAGTTCCCCTTCCCCTTTAGACCTTTTCTTCCTATTTCTCATTATTGCACATTTTGATCCTTATTTACACTTTTAGTTTCTCACATCAGAGAAACTATTCAGTATTTACACGTTTGTCGTGTTTATTTCACTTAAGAGTATGACCTCAGTGTGCATCCACTTAGCTATAAATGTCTCTAGTTTCTCATTCTTTATGGCTGAGTAGTACTCTATTTTATTTTTAAAAACCACATCTTCGGGCTGGAGATTTAGCTCAATGGTTCCGCCGCCTGCCTCACAAGCACAAGGACCTGAGTTTGATCCCTAGTACACCCCCCAAAAAAACCCAAAAAAACACATCTTATTTATCCAGTCTCTAGCTGATGGACAGTTGGGCTGCTTCTAAGTTTTAGCTATTACAAACTGTGCCGCTATGAACATGATGCACATATATCGGTGTGAATATCACATATTTTTTAAATTCTTTTGGGAAGATACCCAGCAGGGAAATAGCTGGGTCATATGGGTCCTCTAATCCTAGTTTTTTGAGATATCTCCATATTGATTTCCACTGTGGTTACACCAGTCTTTTCATGTAGTTTTTAAATCACCACAGGTAAAACAGGAAATAAGGTAAAAATCTTTAAAAACCTGATACAAATAATCAAAAGAAATAAAAACAAAAACTACATTAAAGTTTAAGAGAATCAAAATTGCTGAAGCTAAGGAAGAAAAATCTAGGTTTTTACTTGATACCTTTTAAAGTGGGTAGTGGTTTCCTGTGGGAGAGAGTGCTGAGGACCAAACCAGAGCCTCACACGTTCTGGGTTAGCACTCTACTACGGAGCTACACCCCCAGCTCCTAAGCAGAGGTTTCATGAGGAGCCACTTGGACATTTATCTTCGGTCTGCAGAAAAACAAAACAGACAAGAACTCAGGGAAGAATTCTCTAAATTAGGTATAAAACAAAACCATAGAAGAACCTTATAGAGCATGTCCCTGGGGCCTTTAAGAAAACAGTATACGGTCCCTAGAGAGTCACTTTGATTTTTGTGGTGTGCTTCTGTGTGTGCATGCATGCATGTCTATGTGTGTGTATGTTTGTGTTTATAGCAGTCATTTGAATAGAAATTTTTAAGTTTTTTTTTTATTGCCTTTGTTTACTAGAGAAGCCATGAAATTTTGAGGTAAAAGCAGTTTTTTTTTCCCCCTCCAATTTTGTGATTCCAGAACAGAGAAATAAAATGATCGCTATGTAGTTCAGGCTGACCTTGAACTCACTAAGTGATCCAGGCTGGCTTCAAACTTCCAGCAATCCTCCTGCCTCAGACTCTTGAGTGCTGGGATTACAGAAGTATGCCACCACACCTGGCTTCTTAGCATGCATTTTTATCTGAAATAAAAAATAAAAAATTTTCTCCTATGTCAGAATTTTCAAACAAATGTTTTGGTAAATGACTAAAAATGTAATTAAAATATACTAAGAAATGTAAAACATTTGAAAAATTAAAATTTACATGAGATTAGATTTTTGTGGTCTGGTTTTTCTTTTTTGGGTGGAGGGTTTTTTTTCTTCTTCATTTTTTTTGAAACAGAATCTCACTTTGTAATTCAGGCTGGCCTTGAACTTGCTGTGATCCCCTGGCTTCCCAAGTACTGGGATTACAGGAGAGTATACCACTACATCCAGCTTCATACCCGGAAATCTTTGAAGCCGCAAATTATTTCATGTATGTGTATGTGTATGAATATTTAGGTGGGGACGACATAGGGAAAGGCATATCTAATAGTAAAGAGATTTTTTTTTTCAGGAAAACAAAGCTTTTGAACCAATATCTTTACTGTTAAATGGATGTCTAATCAGTGATCTGGCTCATCTTGAAACCAAAGCAATTGTATTGTCAAATAAATGCTTCTTTACTTGTAATACTCTGTTTAGGTTAACCTTGCTTAGAGTGTTTCTGTTTTTTTATATGGTAATATAAATTTTACTGTAGACAATTATCCTTGTTTGTCCTGTTGCCATTCTACTGAGAAAGATATCCTGAGTGTGGAAAAGGTGTGACAACTACATTGCTTACAGAAGAGGGTAGAATGAGTTTTAAAAATAGATTTCATCAGTTTACAAATATGAAGAGTGGTTCCAGAAAAGGAGATGGGAAAAAAAAATATGGTAGAAAAGGGTAAGGAAGCTCACAGTTTGATTGTCAACTGCAATAGGTGATGTAAGGACTTTAGTCTGTTAAATCGTTAGTCTCAAATGCGTATGCGTGAGTATTTGTGTGTGTGTGTGCGTGTGTGTGTTTGTGTTTGTGTTTGTTTTACTGGGGGTTGAAGTCAAGGGCACTGACTACCACTGAGCTATATTCCCAGCCATTTTTTGTTTTGGCTTTTTATTTTGAGACAGAATCTTGCTAAGTTGCTGAGGCTGGCCTTGAATTTATAGTCTTCCTGACTCAGCTTCCCGAGTATGTGCCACCATGTCCAGTAAATGTTGATATTTTAAAACTCATTTATGGGCCAGGGATTTAGCTCAGTGATGCCGCCACCTGCCTTGCAAGTGCAAGGACCTGAGTTCAATCCCTGGTAACAAAAACAAAAAATGTTATTTTTACAGCACTGGGTATTGAACCCAGTGCCTTCACGCTGAGCTATAACCCTAATCTTTTATTTTGAGATGATCCTATCAAGTCATGCAGTTGCTCAAATTGAGCTCAGACTTGTGATCTTCTTGCCTCAGCTTCTCAGAGTGCTGGGATTACAGATGTGTCACCCTCTCCAGGTTTTGATATAGTGTATTTTTGTTTACTAAGTGCATAAATCTTAGTATTAGCTGGACGTGGTGGCTCATGCCTATAATCCCATCATTTGGGAGGCTGAGGCAAGAGGATCATCATGAGTTCAGGGCCAACCTGACCTGAGACCCTGTCTCAGGAGAAAAAAGAAAAAAAAAAAAAAAAAAAAAAAAAAAAAAAAAAAAGAGGGGCCAGGGATTTAGCTCATGGCACTGTCCCTGCCTTACAATATCAAGGTCCTGAGTTCGATCCCTGGTACTCCCCCCACCAAAAAAAGAAAGAAACCTTAGGCTTTGTTTGATGGTGGGATCCTTGACAGAAGGCGGTTTTTCTTACAATTTATAAACTATAGGTTGACTATCCCTTATCCCAAATGTTTGAGATTAGAAATATTTTAGATATCAGAATTTTTCAGATTTGGGAATATTTGCATAGACTTTATGGATTGCACGTTCCTAATCCATACCGTGTGTGTGTGTGTGTGTGTGTGTGTCTGTCTGTCTGTCTGTCTGTCTGTCTGTCGGAATTGAACCCAGGCCTTCATATTGTGAACTGCATACCCAGCCCTTTCAAATTTTTTTAAATTTTTAGACAGGCTCTTGCTAAATCACCAAGTTGCCCAGGCTGGGCTGGAACATTTAATCTTTTTACCTCAGCCTTTGAGACAGGCTCTTGCTAAATTACCAAGTTGCCCAGGCTGGGCTGGAACATTTAATCTTCTTACCTCAGCCTCCCAAGTTGCATGGATTGTAGGCTTGCACCACCACGCCTGAATTAGAACCTGAAACTTTTAAGGAATACTCAACTTGTAATTTTCTTATAGAATAATTAAATATCTTATTGGGAAATACACCAGTAGCAATGATGTTAGATATCCAGTGATTTATAAAATACTGTATTATACTAGTTCACTTAATATCACATTAAAGAGTAATTACTACATGTGAGACTTCATTGACTTTCTGAATTTTTTTTTTTTTTTAAGAAAGTGTTAAGTCAGATGTAGTAATGCCAATAATCGTAGCATTTGGAGACTGAAGCATGTGTATAGCAAGTTTGAGGCCAACCTTTGCACTATATGTGAGTAGAGGCGAGCTGGGACTATATAGCAAGGTGCTGTAAACAAAAACAAGGGCCGGGGATTTAGCTCAGCAGTTCCGCCACCCACCTGCCTTGCAAGCGCAAGGACCCTAGTTCAATTCCTGGTACCAAAAACAAACAAAAAAAACCTTCAAAAAGAAAAACAAAACCTCTGAGGCTGATGTGCAGCCATTTTATTGAATGGAGTTGATTTGGAGGATAATAATGCATCATTTAGACTAGAATAAGTGAAAATCCTAAAAAGAAAATCTTGTTTATTTTGTTTAGCATTGTACAAACTGTCTTTCTAAATAAAATTTGAGGAGGCTTTGAACCAAACACAAAATAAAGAGATATTTAGAACATTTTATACTTTTTTTCTTAATGAAATACATTATCTTCATTTTTGTTGTTTTTGTTTTGTTTTGCTGAGATGGTGTCTTGCTGTATTGTTCAAGCTAGACTCAAATTCTTGGGCTCAAGCGATCCTTCCATCTCAGCCTCCTGAGTAGCTGGAACTATAGGCAAACACCATTATGCCCAGCTCAGATCTTTACATCCTCCCAACCCTCCACCCCCGTACTAGGGATTGAACCCATGACTTTGACACTGAGCTACATTCCAGCCACCCTGCTTTTTAATTACTTATTTTGAGACAAGGTTTTTTTAAGTTGCTTTGGCTGGACTTGAACTTCTGGTCCTCTTGTCTCAGCCTCCCAGAGTTCTGGGATTACAGGTATGCACTACCATCCCCATTTCAAATCTTTTCTTTTGTGTTTGTTTCTTTGTTTGTTTGGTACCATGGATCGAACTTGGGTCCTTGCGCTTTTAAGGCAGGTGCTGGAACCACTGAGCTAAATCCTCAGCCCTCAAATTTTTACTTTTAATGGACTCATACCAGAGAGTCGTTTTCATAGGTGTTAAAGAGGAATCAGAAAATTCTTCCTTTCCAGTCAGAAAGTAAAGTCATAATACAAATTTAATATGTTCCTTGTCCACTTCTCCTCTGCTTTAAGACATAACTAGTGGCTCAAAACAAGCTCATTCTAAGAAAAATCTTACCAGTTACTTGGTTCCTACACCTTGAAAGTTAAATACACTTCTCTATTTGATTTGATGGGGGCTTGTTTTTTCTGATGTTTATCCAACATCCAGTTGACAAAGTTATTTGTGTTTGTCCCATAACTGTAATAAATTTTTTTTTACCTTCTTCCTTTGTGCCACATCTTTATATTTCTAGGCAACAAGAAAGGATAAATTCTCAGAGGGAAGAGATAGAAAGACAACGGAAAATGTTAGCAAAGCGGAAACCTCCTGCCATGGGTCAGGCCCCTCCAGCAACCAATGAGCAGAAACAGCGGAAAAGCAAGACCAACGGAGCTGAAAATGAAACGTATGTTCTTTATTGATGTGAACTGAGATGCCACATCATCCCCTAAAATACAAATGTCCTATTGAATGCCACTGGAAGCAGTTTAAATTACAGAAGTCCCTAGAGGTTAAACTTTTTTAGTCATTAATGATTTGCTCAACTCATTTAAAAACCATGTAAAACTGACTTTCTTAGCCTTGCTGTTTTGTTTTGTTTTTTTGTTGAGACAGGGTTTCCTTATGTAGTTCAGAATGGCCATGAACTCTCAGTGATCCTCCTGCTTCAGCCTCCCAAGTGCTGGGATTACATATTTGCGCCACCATACCCAGCTCATTCATTCATTCATTTATTCATTTAAGATAAGAGTTTTGAATGAGAGGGAAAAGTGATGTCATGTCACTTCTTGACATCATGATTTTTGGCTACCCATAACAAAATGTCATTAATATTATTGTTTAAAAGTAGTTCTAGATTATAGTAAATTAGAATGATGTTATGGGGATTGCCTGACTACTGTTTCAGACTGCAGAGTGCTCCTTATTGCTCAAAAGAGCACTTAGGTAATAGTAATAAACTCAGGAATAAGCCACACACACACGCGCGCGCACGCACGCACGCACACACACACACACACACACCCCTACACCTACACACCTACATTTCCCAGTAGGCAAGATCTTGATTGTGCCAGAATTTTTGTCTGTTCTGGAAACCTAAGGATCTTGAAGTGCAGTCATCTTTTTAATCTGCCAGTCAGCAGTTATTATATAGCTGTCATATATGAAAGGTAGAAAATCCTGAGCACAAATGCTTTTCTTCATCATTCCTTTCTCCCTTTTTCTTTAATTGAATTTCATAAAGACAGACACAAAAGAAAGGTATTTTTTATATAAGCCAAATATGCCTTTCATCTTTTTTTATGTTTTTATATTAGTTCCCCAAAACATACTAACCCATAATTCAAGTATGCTACTAATAATACACCATTATTAAAGGTCCATGACATCCCAGAAATGCATATTAATTCCATAGAGAAAAATTGCTTAACACCAGTTCTAACCTTATACAAACCTTTGATACTCATTTAATGACTCTATGTTTATTTCTTTTTTTCTTCTTCTTTTTTTTTTTTTTTTTTTTTTTGTGGGGATCAAACTCAGGACCTTGCGCTTGCAAGGCAAGTGGTGGTACCACTGAGCTAAAGAGTACAGCCCATTTCAGGAATTCACAGTTTATTTAGGGGAGATAAACAGATGAATAAATTTAACTTACATTTAGCGATAAAACTGAACTAAGTTTGAGAAACATTTTTAATCTTAACCTGAATATTTTAAAAGTAGAGTCTAAATGTAGGCATTAAACTCATCAGGGGCCAGGGATTTAGCTCAGTGGTTCTGCTGCCTGCCTCGCAAGCACAAGGGCCAGAGTTCGAGCCCCAGTACCCCCCCCAATTAATTAATTAAATAAAAAGCTCATCAGGTAAGGGCCTAAATGTGAAAGATTCTCCAAACAAATCAATCTCATCGCTTTCTTTCATGGGTTTTATTTATATTGTGAAGGCACGCTACCTTACTATTGCTTAGTAATTATTTAAATTAGTGTACAAATCATTGGTCTAAAAATGATAAGGCTTAGGTTTTATTTTTTTATACTTGTTTTGTTTTCTTTTAGAACAGTAATGAAAACATAAATAAAACAAAAACTTGGAGTAGGCCAGTGGTATGTCAGTGAGCAGCTGTCACCTGGAGTCCTATGTAAAATCCAAGCAGGGTGGCCTTCAGTCCACTTTTTAGAGTATTTGTAACTTGGCTCTTTCCTTTAACCAGAAACCAAAAACAGGCCTCTGCAGTAAGTCACCTTGTCCTTTCCCAAAATTAAACGTTTCAGGCAGAGAGATTCCTTAGCTATGATCTTTTATTTCTCTCTCTTTTTTTTTTTATTTAATTTTACTGGTGTGAAATGGAGTAATAGTTATGTATTTTTGCAATTGTGAGAAGTAAGTGTAACAACCCTACCTAGTGGATGTGCTACTGCTTACTCATTCTGTTTTATTTGAGTTAGACTTCAGATTGTTTTGGAACCCTTCTTACTATGTAGGATAACTGTTTACTTTTTTCTTCTGCTATTTAGAATGAATCTAAATAGTGAGATTTGAAACTTTTGAAGTGAGTGTGCATGCTTCTATGTTAACTAATAGAGATGGAAAAGAAAGGTAATAATTTCTTGCTTGTTTTTTCTTGAGGTACAAGGATGCCACTGGCATAGGTAGAATATGAAAGGATTACCCATCAAGTCAGACCTGTGAGAATTGATCTAAATAGTGTTTTCAGTATCCTTTTCACATTCTCATTATATAGTCATGACATTTTGTTAGGCAAGTATTATCACTTAATAGTTTTCAGGAAATGAGTTAAGAGGTTAAAATTGCTTGCCTAAGTAACAGACAGAGTCCTAATCCTGGCCCCTAATTTTCCTCTGTCTTTTTCTTTGTTATTATATTATCAGAGTCTTAAAGAGTTATTCAGAATGATCAAATCCATTGCCTTGTTTTGCCCTTAATAAATTTTTTTAGGTGTAATGTTTGCTTGTACCTCTCTGAATAGGTTTTCATGATTAAGTGATAGAATGCATTTCATAGATGATGTAAAAATATAATCACTTATTTTTCTCACTTTTTACAAATTAGACTTCCATTTGGCTTTAGAATCTTTTCTTTATATCACATCTGATGAATTGCAAGTTTTCCCCCATCAGAGGATTGCAAAAATAAACTGACTTTTAGTCATTTTAACTATGAGACAAAATGCTGTTTATAGTATACTTGAGCATTTCTCCTTAAATAGGTATATTGTGATTTCAAATAATTTACTGAAATTTCTGTGTTTATTTTCCAGGTTAACATTAGCAGAATACCATGAACAAGAAGAAATTTTCAAACTCCGGTTAGGCCATCTGAAAAAGGTAGGCATAATGAGAAAATCTGCCTGGAAAAAATGATTTCTAGTTTCCATTTAAAATAGAAATTATGTGGTCATTTGAACAAATACAATAGTAATTTCTCATAGCTATGGAAATTTTTTAAAAATTATTTTTTATTAGTATGTATTTGTCACACATACCAATCACATTCATCATAGGAAATTTGTACCTGTACATATCTTAATTCTTTTTCCCCATTCCCCTCCCTTCAACCCTGCATTTGTATCTGCAGAAATCTTATATAGCTACCTTTGCTATTACATCTGTAATCAAATGAGGGGACCCATGTACTTTGTGATATTTTAAATCACATATCAGTTTTTACTTTGCTTAAAACTAGCTAGAAAGTGTTGTACCAACCGTATTCTAACAAAGACACCTATAAAATTTGTTGTTGATGATGTTCATGGAGATATCTTAGGTGTGGATTGCTCAGCTCTTAAATTCAGCAGCCCATGCATTATTGGTACATGCTGTTTACAATGATGCGTTGTTCCGTGAGCATTTGATAAGCAGGCATGGTGGTACAGGCCTGTAATCCTTGGCACTCGGAAGGCTGAGACACAAGGATCACTATGAGTTTGAGGCCAGCCTGGACCACATAGTGAGTTCAAGGCCGGCCTGAACTACATAGTGAGATTTTGTCTCAAAACAAAAATAAAACAAATTAACTGCTATTGGTATGTGTTATATCACATACTTGTTTTCATATTTTCCTCCCAGTGTCTAAGAGCTTATTAAATTCGTAATACTTACGGCACCAAGTATAATTCATTCCTAGAGATTAGAACCAGGCAGAAAACCTGAGTTTTGTAAAAGTATGTGTCTATATGTCTATGCAAAAAGCATTTCTAAAAATTTATGTAGAAAGTTAACAATGGTTGCATCTTGAGACTGAGTGTGGAAGGGAAGGAGGAAGGGGTGGAGGACTTTGATTCCCCGCCCTGCCCCCAAACTTGTTGTGTATGGTTTGGATTTTACTATCTAATTTTTCTTTTTAATCTGTTCATCAATGTAAAACATCTTCCTTTAGCTTTGTTAAGAGAAATAGCTGTCATTTTTGAAATCAGACTGAAAAGATAAAGAATTTCCTGCATTCTAAGTTTTATTTCCTTTTTACTTCAGGAGGAAGCAGAGATCCAGGCGGAGCTGGAAAGGCTAGAAAGGGTTAGAAATTTACATATCAGGGAACTAAAAAGGATACATAATGAAGATAATTCACAGTAAGCAACTTGGGTGTATTGGGTGTTGGGTCCTTTCTGACTTGAATGGAATGGCCTAGAATGATGTTTTTGTTTAATGTAAATTTGGCAAATGACCCCTAGTATAAATGATTAAACCCAAGGCCTTCATATTGAGCCCCAGCCCTTTTACAATCTTTTAAGACAGGGTCTTGCTAAGTTGCCTGAGTTGGGCTCCAATTTGTGATCCTACTGCCTCAGCCTCCCAGAGTGTTGGGATTAAAAGCGTGTGTCACTGTGCCTGCCTTCCTTAGCTCATTTGTAGGATATGAGAGTTTTATGAGCAAAATTATGATCTGCTTTGGTTTAAATATATATTAAATTTATTAAATACATGTGTATACATACCACATTTCTATATGAGTAGAGATCACTAAAACTATAGCTTTGCAATTGTAAGTGGGCAAAGTATACTACATACTCAAAATTACCTATAGAGCCTTGAGAAATGGAAGTACCAGCCACAGTGTGGTGTTGTGGGAAGAGTATTGAGTTGAGAGGACACCTGGTTTTTGAATAACCGTTACAGGACTAGAGATTTTAAGTAAGACTTGCCAGGTATGATAGTGCTCACCTATAATTCCATCATTTTGGGAGGTTGAGGCAGGAGGATGGAAAATTTGAGCCCAGCCTGGATAATTTAGTGACTTAGTGAGACCTTTTGTCTCAAAATTTAAAACAACAGAAAAGACTTTATTCTACCACATTAATTGGAAAGTAATCCTCACCTTTGTTTATAAATCATTTAAAGGACTCAATGTAGAAAAAGTAGGCTGCAAGTGGGAAAGCATTTCTTTCAGCAGTTTTGTTTTTCCCACATATTTCTGAATGAAATATTTTTTTACATAGTCACAGTTGTATATTTTTGTTTGGCCAGTATGAGCCATGGACCATTCCTGTGCCAAGTGGCGCCATAAGAAGTCATCATTCACTGAGAACTTGTACTGAGAACTTGTAACAGGCATAGTGCTAAGTGATGTTATATTCTCACTGTTAATCTTCATCAAAACTCTGTCTTCTTCAGCACACTAATTGAGAAACAAGCTTAGAAATGTAATTTGGCTAGAAGCCCGTAACTAGTGTGTCTAGGATTAAATGTGGATCACGCCATCTTTCTTGTCTGTCATCTGTCTTCATAGGCATGCTGCTTTCTTAAAATTTAAGGATTAATAAATAGTGAGGCTGTTTAAGATCAGGAAGCAAGTACAAATATTTTAAAGTTTATTTTTGCAAGAATCTATCATTTCTTGGTTAAATTGTTAAAAACTGACACAAGATAGACTATATGGGAATACGATTATATCATAGATTTTCTGCCTTAAAGAGAAAATTGAATGTATAATAGAGCATGAAGCTGTATAATTGTGCATTTTCAAGACAGTATAAAATATCTTGGAATTTTACTCTGTGAAGTTTGGAATGGTGAGAGCAAGTGGCTCTTGAATAGTTTGCAGAAGCCAAACAGCAGTTTGAAAATCCCTACTTTATTCTAATCCACTCCCCTTGAGTTTGGTGTTGAATGTCCAACTATCAGCAGCAACTGTAATCATTTGTATAGGTGTTCTGTGAATTTTGAAAATATGAGAGGTGTTCCTTCTTGACTTAAGGATGTTACACGTTCCCTGTTTCCACAGATTTAAAGATCATCCAACACTCAATGACAGATACTTATTGTTACATCTTTTGGGCCGAGGAGGTTTCAGTGAAGTTTACAAAGTAAGTATGAACAACTAGGTAAAAAGAGGGCAAAATTGCTAACTGTCTCCAACTTGGAGAACATTTAAAAAAGTGATAACTGTGGATTAATAGCTACTGGTTGAAATTTAAAAGGTTTAAGAGCCTATATTTTTGGGAAAAGTGCTTCCAGTACAATTAAATGATGAAGGACATAATATTTTACTGTTTTCTCACTTTAAAAATACATAATTATAGTTGATACAAGAAGTAAAAACAATATTCATTTCTGGGAGGCAAAATTATGGTGATTTTTCTGATTCTGTTTTTTCTATCTCAGAATTACTACAGACGAGCAGTGTTAGCTTTATTCCTTTTTTTTCAACCTTTATTCTTGTAAAAAAATGTTTTAATGGAATAGATGTGCCAATTAAGTTCTTATTTGAAAACCAGCTTTTTATTTTAATGCAGTTGTCATCTAAGACAATTTAGTATCATTGCATTCTGAAAGAATATCCTCCAAGAGCCCTTCAGTGAAGGCAGCAAAGTACAGACTACTGTACCTCCAAGTTGATAGTCACTGAGTGGGGGATTTAGCCAGTTTTAAATATACGTAGCTTCATAACATGTTGAGCAGTTTCTCTACATGTTTGTCATGTGTTCTACTGTACTTGACTGTACAGTACAGAATTGTTTTGTTAAGTGGACTTCATTGCACAATTGTGGGAATTCCCTCTTTTCTAAGGTGTAGCCTTCACTGTTGTGATTTACATTGTGCCAATGATGGTGAACCTTTTAGAACTCTCATTGATCCAAACAGCCTGATGCAGCACACATGCCATAGGTTTGCCACCACTGCATTACATCCATATGACTTGTTGTTTTTTTTTTAATTTGAAACTATTGGGCTTTTTATTGGTACATTTTAGACTTATATAATGATAACATTCATTATAGGGAATTTGTACCTGTACATGATATATCTTGCTTTTTTTTAAATCTCCCCCTACCCTTCATCTTCCTCTCCTTATTTACGAAAGCTTTGTTTTCATTTTTTCCTTATATTCTCTCTTTTTTTCTTTCCTTTTTTTGGGGGAGGTACTGGGGATTGAACTCGTGTCCTTGCATGCGGCAGGCAGTGGAACCACTGTGCTAAATCCCCGGCCCGTCTCTTTTTTTCTTGTCCATTCTTTGTTTTCTCCCTTCCCCTTCCTTGTTCCTCTTCTCATTTGAACGTTTTCTTCCCATTTCCCAATATCAATTATACAAATGGTCCTTATTTCCACTTTGGTTTCTCATACCAGAGAAACAATGTGATATTTACAGATGTGTCTGACACATTTCACTTAAGAGCATGGTCAGGGTGCATCCATTTAGCTAGAAATGTCTCAAGCTCATTTTTCTTTATGGCAGAGTAGTACTCTATTGTATATTAAAAAAAAAAATCTTTGTCCTTTCATCAGTTGATGGGCATTTGGGCTGTTTCCAAGATTTAGGTATTACAAACTGTGCCACTATAAGCATGGGTGTGCATATATTGCTGGGGGTTTAATGCTTTTAAGTCTTTTGGGAAGATACCAAGGAAGGGAATAGCTGGGTCAAATGGAACTTCTAGTTTTAGTTTTTTTGAAGAATCTCCACACTAATTTCCACAGTGGTTAGTTACACCAGTTCATACTCCCACCCACAACAGTGGAGAAGGGGTTCCTTTTTCCCCACAGCCTTGCCAGCATTTGTTGTTGGTTGATTTCTTGATAGCAGGCCTTCTTTCTGGAGCAAGATGGTATCTCAGTGTTGTTTTAATTTTCATCTCTCAAATGACGAGTGACGTTGAACATTTTTTCATGTATTTACTTGCCAGTTGTACTTCATCTGAGAAGTGTCTGTGTATTCATTTTAGATGCCCATTTTTGAATTAGGTGTTTAAATTTAGGGGGTCTGATTTTTTGAGTTTTTGTATATTCTAGATAGTAGTCCTTTAATAGACTGTTCTAGAAAAACTGGTTTTCCACATGCCAGGGATTAAAACTAGACCCATATCTTTCACCATGCACTAAACTGAAATCGTAATGAATCAAAAGATGTAAATATCAAAACAGAAACACTAAATCTGTGGAAAAGATAATAGGTAGAACTCTTGAAGATATTAATGTGTAGTCAAAGACTATGAACAAAACCCCAAGCTCACAGGAATATCACAAAGAATTAACAACTGGGATCTTATTAAAAAGTTTTTGCTGGGCTGGGGACGTAGCTCAATGGTACCGTGCCTCACAAGCACAAAGTACTGAGTTTGAGCCCCGGTTCCACAAAAGAAAAAACTTTTGCACAGCAAGAGAAATTACCAACAGAATGAAGAGACAACCTGTGGTGTGGGAAAAAATTTTTGCCAGCTGTTCTTCAGAGCAAGGACTACTGCCCAGATGACCTTCTATTTGAGAACTGTTTTGAATAGAACGAATTGTTTTAATGTCAGTACAGTGAAAACTAATTCTGTTTTTTTTAATTTTGATTTTTTTAAATGTTAATTTTCACTATGAATTTATATGTTTGTTTATTGGTACTGGGAGGATCGAGCTCGATCTTTTGCTTGTGAGGCAGGCATATATATTTATATTTATATGTTTATAATTTACCCCCTTTTTTGGTGTTTTTGAGACAGGGTCTCACTGTGTAGTTGAGACTGACCTGGAACTCACTATGTAGCCCAGGTTGATCTCGAACTCACAGTGATCCTCCTGCCTCAGCCTCCCAGAGTGCTGGGTGCGTGCACCACCACGCCCTGCTATAATTTACCTTTTTAATCATTAATACAATACAATATAGTGGCATTAAGTACATTCACAGTATTGTGCAACTATTGTCACTATTCAGAGCTAAAATGTGAATTTTTTAGTGCCCCACTGGTTTTGTTTCTAGTATTTTATTCTGTGCTCATAAATCTGAGCCCATAATAGTTATCCTTTGGTGCAAATAGCCCCACGGAGTTTTCATGTCATAGTTATCCTAGCTCCTTAGAATGAATTGTGAAATTTCTCTTTTTTCTGTGCTCTTTTACATTTAGCTAGGGAATTATTGGCTCCTGTTTATTTATTTGGTTTCTTTTTCAAGACAACGTTTTACTATGTAGTTCAAATAGGGCTTGAACTAAAAATAGCCCAGGCTGGCCCAGAACTTTTGTCAGTCCTCCTGCCTCAGCCTCCCAAATGCTGGGATTATAGGCATGTACCCCCAGGCCTGGTTTAGCTGGCTTATTAAAACCACATAGATACGTACCATTTTAGAAGAAATTTTTGACTGTCTTTTCACTTCCTTCTATAGTTAATGATCTGTTCAGATTTTCTCTTTCTTTTTATGTCAGTTTTGGTAATTTAATTTTTGTAGAAAAATCTGTTTCATCTGGATTAAAACAAATCCATAACCTTAATCATTTCCTTCTCTTAGCATATGTCTGTTTCTTGTGGAAGACATCTTCTCTTGTGTTGAGTAGTACTTTATCAAATTCTGATTTATTTCCAAGTTCTTCAAAAACCCATCTGTTAACCTTTTTTTCACATAGCAGTGCCTTGCTGATGCAGGATGTGCCAGAAGTGGTCTTTGGGGGAAATTTGTCCATTTTTCTAGACTGTGCCAGAGAAGCTTTTATGTGGCTAATTTTGGCAATTGTGATTAAAACTCTTTTCATTTACCCCACCATGTAGGAATGGGGCTAAAGACAGGACTTTTTTTGTCTATATTTTAATAAACACAATATACAAAATCACAGTTATTTTGTAAATTACCAAAGAGATGTGTCTTGAGAGGTTATTTTCTCCAGGAGGCAGGCAGTGAGACATGAAGGTTTCAAAAGTATAAGACTTATCCCATGAAGTCCCAGTGACAGCTGAGGGACAAAAAACAGCATCACAGAAAAAGGTCCCAAATGCGAACAGATGACACTCCAGAAGGAGCATTGTGGGGAAGAGGCTGTAAAAGCTTGGGCTAGCTCTGTGTTTGTGGTATATGCTTGGGTTTGTTCTCTAAACCCTTTGGTGCCAGTGTGTCTGGAGACTTCTAAATTATCTAATCACAAGTTTCAAGATTGTTGCAACACTGAAGCAAATACGTGATATGCTCTTGCTTGCTGCTGTTTTTATTTAATGCCATATTTATTTACTTCAACAGAATTTTCAATTTTGTGTTAAGTAGAAACTTCAAATCAGTTGCCTATAATTCTTGTTAACATTTATCTAGAATCGAATTTATTCCTTTTTTATAGGCATTTGATCTAACAGAGCAAAGATATGTAGCTGTGAAAATTCACCAGTTAAACAAAAACTGGAGAGATGAGAAGAAGGAGAATTACCACAAGTAAGTAACGTTGTGCCTGATTTTTCTAAAATTAGTACTGATAATTGTACTTTTAAGGAAGTGCTAAGAGCTTTAGATGAAATATAACCGGCTTTGTTTCATTGAGTCCTTCCTCCTCCTGCCTAGGAGAGTGAATGTATTCTGAATTTTACTGATGAAGAAACTGATACTTTGAGTAAATTAAAAATTGGCAGCTGAGTGTGGTGGCACACACCTATAATAATCCCAGCAGTTGGGAGGCTGAGGCAGGAGGATTGCCATGAGTTTGAGGCTAGCCTGAACTACAAAGTGAGACCCTGCCTCAAAAAAAAAAAAAAGAAAAAGAAAAAAAGAATTGGTTGAGTTGGTATTTAAATAGCAACTTCACTTAATCTAAAACCCATAGTTTTAACTCCTTCCCCTTCCATTGTGTATAAAAATAGCTATAATAAACAAGTAAAGCCTCAGAAATAATTGTTGCTTGTCTGTAGAGACTAAAAGTATCTTTTGGTCAAGAGACCCTGGGAAGCTGTAGGTGGGTGTTCTTTGCTACCCTGATCATTTCCAATGAAAGAGATACCTGTTTGGGGCGTGCCCCTGCTGTGACTTGGTGCGACTTACATGATTTTTTCCAGCCCCTCAGTGCACTACCACTCCCTTCCCCTCCATTAGAGTTTGCCCATGCTGGAGTTCCTGGTTTTCCTGGTTTCAGCTTGCCTCCTCAGAATGCCATCAGTTGCAGTCCTCCTCTGTCCTTGGGATGAAAGGGTTTAGGAAGGTGGATTACTTTAGAATGAATAGTTATTACATATGTAGCTATGAGTTTCTTTGTTCCACTCTTGTCAGGTTTTGCCTGAATCCTGCCTTAGTTTCAGAACACCAGAGTTCCTAGCTCACTTGCTTTGGAATCCCCAGACTTAAATTTGCTATTAGTACACTGAGTTTTGTTTCCTTGTTGTGGGTACAAGTATTGAATGAGACCAGTCCTATCCTTGAAAGGAGTCCAGCCTCTTTTGATAGAAACCACCTGCCAGGCATGGTGGAACATGCCTGTGTTCTCAGCACTCAGGAGGCTGAGGCAGGAGGACATGAGGATGGATCTCTGAGGGTTTGAGGCCAGCCTGAGCCATGTAGTAAGATTGTGTTTAAAAAAAAAAAATTAGAAGCAAACACCTCCTAAGTATTGAGGTGGTCTGTGGGGTTTTGTTTTTTCTCATAAATAATACTTTGGAGGGGAAAAAAAACAACTCTGGACTTTGAAGTAGTTTTTTAGTTCTAAATCTCAAGAGGAAGGGCTGGGGATTTAGCTCAGTGGTTTGGTGCCTGCCTCGAAAGCTCAAGGACCCGAGTTCGATCCCTGGTACCAAAAAAAAAAAGCAACACTTGTCTTGCTTTATACCTGTTGTTCATCAAGGACCCGAAAACTCTTCCTGTTCCACACAGTTTGGCAGTGGAGTTCAGCACTGGATGAGAGAAGGTTCCTGCATCACTTAAAGAAGTAGGGCTTAGCAGAGGTAGGAAAAGGGATGATGTGTGCTTTACACAGGGCTCCCTGTGTGTGTGTATCTTATGTGACAGGCAGCTGCAGTCCAGATGCTCCTGAGGAGCAGATACGTTCTAAGTACATTCCAGCCACTTGACGTGTCCCAACAACTGGCATGCAGCAGCGTGTGCCAGAAGCACTTCAGAAAAGGAAACCACATGTTATTCTGACCAGTTATAACAGAATTGTCCCTGTTGTATTGAGGCTCTGAGGAGGGTTAAAGGGTAGGCTGGGGCTGTAGAATTTAACCTAGTATGCACAAGGGCCAGGAGCGCGATTCCCCAGTACCTCAAAGTAAAAAAGCAAAACAAAAAAGGGAAAGTGCCTATGAGTGTTGGACTGGTGCATCCTGTTAGAAGTGCCTTTTGCTTATCTTTGGGGCTTATTCTGTAGCTACCTGTGTATTGGTGACTTTAAACAGTTGCCTCTAGCAGGGACCAATTGTCATCAACCTTGAGAACATCATTCCTGTGCTGGGATTTGTACGATTTTGTCTACACTTGGAATCCAACTTTGAAGCCGATCTTAAGAGAACTGTAATGTTGAATATCATTGTAAATGCAGGAGGAGAGTCTGTTTGTCTAGTCTTTTGAAACAGTAAGAGTTTGAAGACAGGCCTGCAACCCTCCTTGACACTGGCAAACAGTTTGAGTTCTGGTGGGTGTGGTTTGGGTGTCTTTCATAGTCAAGGAGTGTAAATTTAAAGGACTCTGCTCTCTGGCTTAGGCTGGCAGTGGTGCGTTCTTCTGTATCAGAGAAGGAGATATGGTGCCTGAGTCCCATCTGTGGAACCCTCTGGTCAGGAGCCATTTCCTAACTGACAGACTCTGCGGAGGGAATGTACAAAATTCTGTGACCACCTCCATTCTTGGGAGAAAATTCTTGAACATTTCCACCATTGAAAGATCTTGCTTTCTAAGTAATAGGAAGTCATACCAAGAATTTCATCTGTAGGACCAGCGATTTAGCTCAGTGATGTAGATAATCATGAATTGGCAATATGTCATTGACATCTTCAAATTTAAAGCTTAGATTATGCATATAACAGATTTTGAAGCATGCTTTAAAAATTCATTTTTGGAGTTGAAGTAGCCCAGTGGTGGAGTAAGGCTTGCCTATCATGCACCGGCCCTGGTTTCTGGTCACCAGCACCAGCAGAAGGATAATAAATAATCAAATACAAAAACACTGTTAAACTAATACTGAAAAAAATAGTGGATTTCAGTGTTGTGGTGACAGAAAATATGAAAATGCTGTTAACCTGCATAGTAAGGTCTTTTATTTGCTTTTCCATTCTTCAGGATGATTTTCCAGTCTCATTTGGAATAAAGTTTTTTTATGTGGGTTAAAAAAAAAGAAACAAAGAAAACCTGACCAAAATAAAACGTTGTTTTGTTGAATTTTGAATTCTATTCTGCCTTTTTTCTGTTGCTTCTCTCACAGATTTAAAGTAAACTAAATATATTACTTTTATTTTTTGAGAACAGTAGTGTTGCTAGATTTTTTAATACCCCAGAATTCATTAAAACTTCTACAGAGGAAAATTTCATATAAAGCTACCTGCAGAAATAATGTTTATAAATTAGTGTATTATACTCTTCTAAGATAAAAGCAAGCAGGGGCCGGGGATTTAGCTCAGTAATTCTGCCACCTTCCTCATAAGTGCAAGGTCCCAAGTTTGATCCCCAGTACCAAAATAATAATAATAATTTTAAAAATAAATAAAAGCAAGCATTACCTCAATATATATTCATTTGTAGGAGAGTTTAACGTCAATGAGTTTCTTCCACTTTTTACTAAAATTCCTATTTATAATCTATTTACCCTTTGGATACTAAATTAAAGTTGAACATGTGAGAGACATAGCTCAGCCACTGCCTTCCTGAGGCAGGATGAGCAGCAGACTCTGAGCTTGCCATGTGTTGAGGGGCACTTTCAGTGATGCTGAGTAAATCCCCTTAGCTGGCAAGAGAACTTTACATGACACTGCCTTTGACTGTTCATTTATCCTGCTCCTAGTTTCCTCTTTTCTGTACCTTTACAGAGAAATTGGTCTTTTTTTTTTTTTTTGGTACCAGGGGTTGATCTCAGGACCTTGAGCCTGCGAGGCAGGTGGTAGAACTACTGAGCCCAATTCCCAGCAAGAAATCTGTCTTTTATTTGGAATGCACAAAATTAAGAAGTTAAAATAGAAGGGCTGAGAATTACAGAGTCACAAAGCATGCTTGTGTCAAAAGTAACTCAAGGTGACCTGTTTAGTCCATAGGTTTCTTTTTTTTTTTTTCTTTTCCCCAGTACTGGGGATTGAACTCGGGTCCTTCAGTTTGCAAGGCAGGTGGTGAAACCACCAAGCTAAATCCCCAGCCCCTAGTTCATAGGTTTCTAAACCAGTTTTTAAGCATCCTTACCAAAATAAAATGTTCCATGGAATCTTGATATAGATAGACAAGGGTGAAGGTACATTGGTGAAGTGGAGATTGGGCCAAAGCTGCATGTGCTCATCATCTGCAAGAACGCATGTCCTTCTAAACATCCCACCCCCTGAGGAGAAATCTGGATCTCAGGGAGCCACCCTTTGTAGTGTGTGTGTTATGCAACTGTGCCTTGGTGCTGGCATATCTTTTTCTGCCACCGCCACCCCCAATATGGTTCTTGGAGCAGTGGCTCTGTACAGGCACGTGCTTGTAATCCCAGCACTTGGAAGGCTGAGGCAAGAGGATTGCCACAAGTTCAAGGCCAGCCTAGTGAGTTCAAGACCAGCCTGAACTACACAGGAGACCCTGTCTCAAAAAACCTAAAAGTAAGCCAGGCATGGTGGCGCACGTCTGTATTCCTAGCACTCAGGAGGCTGAGGCAGGAGGGTTGCTGTGAGTTCAAGATCAGCCTGGGTATATAGTGAGTTCCAGGGCAGTCTGAACTACACAGTGTGACCCTGTCTCAAAAAAAAAACAAACAAACAAAAAACAAAACAAGGTGGTGCATGCGTATGATCCCAGCACTTGGGAGGCAGAGGCAGGATCACCAGGAGTTCAGGCTGGACTACATAGTAAAGGCCTGTCTGAAAATAACCAAATAGTGATGTTGACGTGAAGCATCTGAAGAAGCAAACATGACCAAAGTTAACAGTTTGAAAAATAAGCCCATAGTAACCAGTGCACGCCTCCCTGATTGTTTTTCTTCTGCTCTTCTTTAGTTGACTATTTTCTGTATATATTTTTTATTAATAAATTACTTTATCCCATTACCTCCTCAAGCCCATGTGCAAAAGCTTTGTTGCCATTTTTTCCTTCTATTTTCACTTTATTTTCTTCTCTTCCTTTCTCTCTCCCTCCTCCCTTGTTCCCCTTCCCATTTGAACACTTTCTTCCTATTTCCCAACATCCATTGTACATGTACATGAGCATACCAATTTCAGAAAGCATCTTTTTGTTTTGTTGCTTTTGAGACAAGGTCTCCCTGTGCAGTTCAGGCTGTCAAACTCACTATGTATCCCAGGCTGGTCTAAACTCACAATGATCCTCCTGCCCGAGCCTCCCAAGTGCTGGGATTACAGGCGTGCGTCACCCTTCCCAGCTCACTTTTTTTTTTTAAAGGAGGTTTTATTATACTGTCCAAAGGTCCCTGTACCCCCTGTATTGGGGATGGAACCCAGAGAGTCACGTGTGCTAGGCAAGAGCCCTACTACGTCCCCAGCCCTTTTTCTTATTTTATTTTGTGACAGGATCTTGCTAAGTTGCCCATACTAACTTCTACTTGTGATCCTCATGCCTCGCCTTCCTAAGTAGCTGGACTATAGTACATTCCACTGTGCCTGGCCTTAAAGATTCACATTAAATTCTTACCTTATAACACATTGCTATAAAACAAACTATATGTTGCTACAAATTATTTATATGTTTTCCAGTTACTATCTTTGTAAGTAAGAGTGAAATACTTTACAAGCTATTGGTGATTATGTTGTATAAACATGCTCTTTAATTCTTTAAAAATTCAATACATGAACGTCAGATAATATGCATTTTTGTCTCTAACCATCCCTATGCCAGGTATTGAATTCAGGATCTTGCACTTGTCAGGCAGGCGTGGTGCCACTGAGCTGTAACATCAGCCCTGCTTTTAATCTTACTAAATTATTTTAAACTAAAAATGTTTTAAACAAACTAATATAGTCCTCACTTGGTATCTTTAAGGTGTTGATTCCAAGACCGCCACAGGCACAGAAATCTACAGATGCTCAAGTCTCATATAAAATGACATAGTATTTACGAATAACCCATGTATGTCCTCCCATGAATTTTTTTGGGTGGGGAGATGTTTTTTTTTTTTTTTTGAGACAGGGCCTCACTTTGGAATTTAGGCTGGCTTTGAACTCACTGTGTAGCTCAGGCTGGTCTCGGACTCCTGGCCGTTCTCCTTCCTCAGCTTCGCGGAGTGCTGGGATTACAGTCATGCACCATGTCCAGTCCTCTCAAATACTTTAAATCATCTTTCTAGAGTACTTATAATACTTAACAGAGTAAATTTCTGTGTGAATAGTCACAGTATATTACTATGTGAGTAGTTTAAAAGTCAGTATGTTTTCAACACAGATAATTTTTTTTCCTTAATGTTTTCTGTCCATGGTAGATTGAATCCATAAATATGGTGAGGTGACTGTATGTACATTTACGTTCTCTTTTCTAAGAAAATTGGGATTTTTATTAACCTAATTTTTTTGTAAATTTCATATTTCCTTAGAACAAAGGAAAGCTGATATTAATTTTATTTGTAAGAAGATTTTAAATGAAAAATATAAAAGTACTAGGAACTGATTTATGTATCATAATCCCTTAATCTACATGGTTTATAAGCTATATTTGAGCCCTTTGATGTAACCTTAGGATAGAAACTACAAATATGAAATATGTACAGTTTTGAAATATCAGCTGTAGAGAAGAGGGAAGAAGCTGTTTTTGTAATTTTTTAATCTTTGATATTTGGGTATAAACATAAAGAGATATATTTGTCATAGAAAGAACTTGAAAAGAGTAAAAGGTTGGCATCCATTTAATAAGTACTTGGACATGTACTAATTTCTCAATGGCTGGGTAAATGCCCACAGAGCAAATAGGATGAGGAGAGAGAAAAATTAGGTCAGAGACCCAGATGGATCCGAATGAAATTAACGTGTGGGAGGGGTGGAGAAAAGAAACTATCTTAAATATTTTGAAGAGTTTTTTTAAAAGAAGCTAAAACGCCTTCTTGTTAATTTTCAATTTTGTTTACAGGCATGCATGTAGGGAATACCGTATTCACAAAGAATTAGATCATCCCAGAATAGTTAAGCTGTATGATTACTTTTCACTGGACACTGACTCGTAAGTACTGTGCCATTTTACTTTATTTTCTTACAGTGTTGAATGTTTATACAATAGAATTTAAATCTGGGTCTAGGACATGCCCTCTGAGAGAAGTACAGATGTGTTCATTTATCAGCAAATGACCATAGATAAATTGAGTTTTGGATTAGCCATACATCTGTGAGCCAAAGGACATATTCTTTGTGATGGAAATGTTTTAACTATAAGCTTAGTTAAAAGCTAAGTACAAGCTGATTTGGAGTGTTTGCCAGTTTTCATGTTATGAATCCTCTCATGTCCAGCTATCAACTTTTTAAAAAGCTGAATTATAAATAATTCATATACCATATGACTCACCCATTGCACAACCCCAGAACAAACCCATACTTTCACTGTTTTCCTGTTTTGCCATCCCCCCTTAACCCTTCCCTCAGCCCTAGGCAGTCACGGCTTTCTGTGTCTGTAGATTTTCTATTCTGGACTTTCACATAAATAGAATAATATAGTATATGGTTTTCTGTGACTAGCTATTTTCACTTGGTATAGTGTTTATTAAGGTTCGTCTAGGTTCATCCATACTCCCACTGATAGATACTTGGGTTGTTTCTGCCTATGGCTGCTGTGAATAATGCTGCCGTGAAGATAGATGTATAAATGTCTCTAGAGCTCGTTGTAGTGGTGCACATTTGTAATTCCAGCACTCTGGGAGGCTGAGGCAGGAGTATTGCAAGTTCAAACCTAACCTGGGTGACTTAGTGAACCATTGTCTCAAAATAAAAAATAAAAAAGGGCCAGAGATGTAGCTCAATGCAAAGGCCCTGGTTTCAATCCTTAGTACAAAAAAAAAAGATTCATCTGTGTTGTGGTGCATGCATCAGTGCTTCATTTCCTTTTAGGACCAAGTAATACTCTGTTGGGCCACTCTGTCTGCTCTTCCATGGTGGCCTGCCCTCAGTCTGTAAGGTGTACTTTTTCCCTACTTTTACTTGGTCCAAACTCACTCTACAGAGCCTGTTTCTTTTCCTGCCTTTGTCAAAACTTTGCTACTTGGGAAAAAAAGTATTTTTGTATAGATTTAGCACATGTTGCTTATCCATTTATCCTCCTGATATTGTAATGACCAGCTCAGAAAATTACTGAAAATGCATTAGCCAGTTCTTGGAATTGGCACAAGCTAGTGCCAGTATTCCACTGACATGGCCCAGTGACTGTTCAAAAGATTCTGCTCCACTCTAGAGACTCTAATGAACCCTGCAGGCCCTTAAGAAAGTACCAGGAATGTGGTACTGTCCTAGAGCAGTGGCGGTGAGCCTGTGGAATTCGTGACAGTGTGGGCTGTTTGTATCATTGAAAGCTCTGAAAGGTTCACCATCACTGCCTAGAGCAAGGGGTCAGAGGCAGTGTTCAGTGCTGCAGACTGATGTAAGTTCATAGACTTACAGAATGTCAGAATTGAAAGGCATCACAGAGTCCAGCCTTACTATACAGGTGGATGTTGAGGATGAAAAAGGTGTAAAGTCTTTGTGTGAAATCTTTGATAATCTTTTATATTGTTTCCTGGTATAGGTAAGTAAATTTTAGAACTTCTGGGCTTATCCAGGAGTTTAGAGATATTTCAGCATTTAGAAAATATTTCTCTATAGGAGTCTGGCCTGAGTCAGGAGAAAATACTGAATCTTAAATGTGGCCTGCAAGTGTCCCCTCAGCTTCTTAGGGTGATGTAGGAGTTTTGATCTGTTCATCTGGCAGTTCTCTCAGATGGCTACACATTTAGAAATACTCCAGAAAGACCATATTCCTTTTTTGAAACATGACACATCCCGACTTTCATTTGCTCATGACTTTCCTATTCTGTTTTATTTTATTCTTTGGTACTGGTGATCAAACTCGCAGATGCTGGAACCACTGAGCTAAATCCCCAGCCCTACTTTCCCTTTTTATTAAGGAGCACCAGTCACAACCGCATATGTTTTGCATGGAGTAGAGTTCAGAAAAATAATCTAGTTAGAGGGCAAGAATGGGAAAACCAGGGAAGGTCTCCACAGGATAGTGTCACTCTTTTGCTTTTATTAGGTTTCTTGAGTACTAGGTTAGACCCCTCTCTGAAATATAAGTGCTAAAACTATTTCAAAATAGATAAAAGTGACTTGGATTATCTGCAATTTTCAATTATATACATGCTTTTCACTAATACGATACATTGAATTGTTTCTATAGTATTCTTATTTTGTTCTTCCTATTGTGTATTTGATGAATTTTCACCAAAAGTAAATCAGACCTTTGTTTGAGAATGTCTTCTGAGATTTGTTTAGGTTATTAAAAGTGAGATTTTATTTCTGGCTTATATTTGGGTTAAAGAAACAATCCACTGAACCTGAGAGTCTGTCTCAAATTTCAGTATCTCAAATCAGAGAATAAATGTATTTCAGATAATTATTCTCAAGTACAGTGTTAGCAAGCTGGGCTTGGTGGTACATGCCTATAATCTCAGGGGAGGCTGAGGTAGGAGGATGGTTATAAGTCCAAGGCCAGCCTGTACTACATAGTGAATTCAAGACCAGCCTAAACTACATAGCAAGATCCTGTCTCAAAAAAGTAAACGAAAAAAACTTAGAATAAATCAAGTACAGTACTAACACGTCCTGCTATGTTTCATAAACATGAACTGTTGTTCAGTTTTAGGATTACAAGACCATGTTTGTTCACAGTCAGTTGCAGTGCTTCTCAAAGGCACTTGTTGCCCAGAGGCCTACAGCACTAGTCCTGAACCTGCTTGTCCTCTGTTCCTCAGTCTTACCTGCTGTACATTTAGGGGATGTGATTGACTCCTCTAGTACTCTGTGCTTACCATGCTGTGTCAGTTGGTGTCCAGCTAAATTCAGGCATGTGGAGTGTGTGTGTGTGTGTGTGTGTGTGTGCGCGCGCGCACATGTGTGTAAATGCATCCATGTGCTCAGCTCACATACACCCTACCCCACCCCAGTTCCAGTTTCCCCTGCTGAGCCTGAATTCTGGTTGCTCCATCTCTTCCCTCTGAACCTCTGGCCTTAGGGTGCTAATGGCTTTCTGCTATAGATGATCCCTGTTGTGCCTCACTAGCTGGTTTGTCTTCTCTGCTCTTCCATCATCTGATCCTGAATTAAATAAAGCTCCCTCTCTGTCTTACTCAAGTGATTTTTAGGGTCAGGATGTAGCTCACTGGTGCTGCGCCTGCCTGGCAAGCACAAGGTCCTGAGTTCAATTTTCGGTTCCAGGGTGGTGGTGGGGTATTCAAATGAATTTTATTTCCTGGTTATACTGACTTATAGACCCACATTATTTCAACTTGGAGTAGTCAAAAGGTATTCATCTCAGGGATATTTAAATACTTCAGAAGGTTTATTTCAATTTCTAATAGCTTGGCTGATAGACACATGACCTGTAATGCCACCAGTCATATGTAGTTTTAAATGTGGGGCTATATTAAATGTTGACATAAATGAAGACACCCCCCGCCTTACAGTGAAGTGCAGTATTGTGTCATACTGCCAGGACATGAGTATACAACTAGTTCTTAGAGCCTGGGCAAAGTCTATATTCTTTTTCAGTCTCAGCACTCAAGGTTATATAAAATATTTATGGTGAGAATTGTGTACTTCATCATAGTGTGGTTGTTTAAAAATGGGTACAATATGTAGGTTTGTAAAGGAGTTCCTTCCAGGAAGGCATCTGATTAGCATACATTATAAAAATCTTGTCAGTATTCTTAGAGCCTAGTTGAAGAGAGGTGGGCCAAAATGAACTTTGGTATGGCCCATGCCACCATGGAGAATGTGAGGACTTCTCCAAGAGAGCAAGCACTTTTCTTCTGTAAACCACTGAGGTAAACTGGTAGGTGGTACATTTGAGTTCCTGCCAAGTAATTAGTGCAAAAAAATGAAACAAAACCAAAAAAATACTCAGCTGACAGTAAGTAAAGAATGAAAGACTGATTTAAAGAAGTGGAAAGGAGAAGCTAATTACCCCAAATTTTCACTGGGATTGGTTTAGATAGTCTTAATCTGTTTGTTCTTGTGGATGGTTAAATGATGGTTTAATTTGTCTTTAGGTTTTGTACAGTATTAGAATACTGTGAGGGAAATGATCTGGACTTCTACCTGAAACAGCACAAATTAATGTCGGAGAAAGAAGCCCGATCCATTATCATGCAGATTGTGAATGCTTTAAAGTACTTAAATGAAATAAAACCTCCCATCATACACTATGACCTCAAACCAGGTATGTCTAACTTTTGTTTTGTTTTGTTTTTGTTTGTTTGTTTTTTGGTACTGGGGGTGGAATTCAGGACCTTGATCTTGAGAGGCAGGCATGCTGCCACTGAGCTAAATTCCTGGCCCATGTCTAACTTTTTTTTTCATTGAGTTTATTGGTATATTTTAGGTATACAGTACAGTTACATTCATCATTGGGATCTTGTACCTTTACATGATATGTCATGGTTCTTATTTTTTCCCTTTACCCTTGCCCTCCCTTCACCCCCTTCCATGTGGAACTTTTAAGAGACAGTATTAGTAGCTTTACAGTCTTCCAAGTGGCTTTTAATTTAATAAAATTACCAGAATTTGACAGGAGCCAAGAAGAACTAGTAGCCTTGCCTGGGCAGATGTGGGAAGAAAGGAATTCTTGCTGCACAGCTCTGGGTTAGGAGGGTAGTTCAAGATTAACACTGGAGAAACAAATGCTTTTGTCTGCAGAGCCCAGGAAGTTTATGATGTCAGTCCCATTGCAGAAGAGCTGTTGTAGCAAGTTCAGTTTTGTCTATTCCCATTACACTGTATAGCAGTTCCTCTGCTCCAAGTCTCTTTGATAAGTGCCCCCAAATTAACAACTTCCCTTGCACATTCACCTCCTAATTCCTTAAATTTTGAGCAGAATTTTTCATCTTTTTTTAGCTTTGATAATAATCAGGTACACTTCTTATCTCTGTGTTTTGTTATCTTCACCTGTTTTTCAGGAGTCTGCATAGGTTCCATGTGTGCAGCTCTAACCAGCTTAGTTTGGTTATTAGGAAGATAGTTCCCAGTTACCTTATGATGTAGCAAAATTGTTAATTTTGCTTTACTCTTCTGATGGCTGCTTATCAGTTTTTTGTTTTAGTTTTTTGTGGCTAGATATTAAATCTGTGTACTATTTAATGTTCTGACATAATTCAGATGAGTTCAAAATTAATTATAATGAAACGATTTTTAAAAAGGATGGCTGTTGATGGGGTAATCCGGTTGAATTCAGCATACTTTATTGCCATATGAGCTGTAGGTGGCGCTGTGGTACTAGCTTGATTTCTTTGCATATTTCCTTTGATGCCTCCCCAATTACTGGTCTAAACAAGGTAGTTTAGAGATTTCACGAAAAGGTCAGATGAAACATTTGCATCATTTTTTTACCAACTGTGTAAGCGATGTTTTACTTTGACAACTTATTTTTATTTCCAATACTATAATGATAGCTTGGACACATTAAGTAGGTGATTTTTGGAAAATAGAAGTTTCCAGCAGATGCAGAGGACTTTCCAACACCTAGAATTAGATTGCTTTAAAAAAAAAAAAAAAGAAGAATTAGACTGTTTATTCCACAGAGTTGTATGGTTGATTTTGCATGTAAGAATTGAGTTCGGTTCTTCCCTTATTACTTTGGATTTTTCTCTTAATAAGTTTGCTTGTTCATGAAGATTTTTATCTTTTTAGGTAATATTCTTTTAGTAAATGGTACAGCGTGTGGAGAGATAAAAATTACAGATTTTGGTCTTTCCAAGATCATGGATGATGATAGCTACAATTCAGTGGATGGCATGGAGCTAACATCACAAGGTGCTGGTACTTACTGGTAGGTATCCAGCAGGTCTGCTGGGCTGGCTGTTGGAGACACAGCTGTGCTGTACTGAAGCACTGGCGATTACGGATTAATTTGCATATATTGTATCCCAAAACAAAAACATTATGAGCATCTTTTTAGCATTTTCACTCTTTGTATTGTTTGTTTTTATTTTTGTTTTTTTCCCCCCTCTCTTCCTGTATTAAAAACTCTAGAGAGAAAGAGTTTATGTCTGGCCAGGTCTTTGAGTTGTATGTTTCCTCCATGGGGCTGGCCATACAAGTCAATAGAGTGTGGTTGCTCACATGGTATATGTAAAGAGTGGCTCCGAATTCTCTTCAATACAAATCAAAGTCTCTCTCTTCATGGGTTAATGTGATGAGGGGTTTGTTTCTAGAGTTCCCTGAGGATGATGGACTCTCAAGAATTAAGGAGTTGTGAAGATCAGGATGGAAACAAACCACAGCATCCCATGAAATCTATACAGGAAAAAGTGAGCACAGTTTACCAGAAGTTTATCCATCTGTTAGCCATGTTCTAAGAGGTTTTGGGGCACGTTTCTCCCTGCCATCTTTTGTCACTTGTCTTTCCCCCAACTGCCCTACCTAGCTAGCTGTGTCACCGGTTCTATAAACTCTCCTGTTTTTGCCTATTATTTTGTCCTCCCTCCTATTACTTTTGACAGTCAGAACCATAAAATACATCTGGGACCAAAGTATTAAACTTTGTGATGTTAAAGTGTGTTAGCAAAGCTTTCTTTTCCCTTCGGAGGTAGTTAAAAGCTACATGTGTGTGATTCTCAACTTCGAGAAGGCTTCTTAGAACTGATGGAGAGGTTCTCCACATTCAGGGGCTCAAATTGTTTACTTTTGGGACTGGGGGCCCTGGGCCTTGGAGCAGAATACTTAATATCTAGGAATGAGGGACCTGAGAAAGCAGACAGGCAAGAGGGGCAGGCCATTTGAAACACACAACATGAGCCTTGTTCTTTTCAGTTGATCCTGCTAATAACACCCCTGTGCACAAAACTCTGCTTTCTGTTGCTCCTTATTACTTGTAGAGATGGTACCTATAGTAAAAAGTCAGTCCCTAAATTAAAGCTTTGGAATTCGAGGTTTAAAATAGAAGCTGCATTTACAATGTTTATTCACTGTGGTAGTTATTGTGGGTTAGTGTCCCTGTCAGTAAGTGATGCAGTGATATCTGCAGTTGTTGGAAGATTGAGGAAGAGTTCTGTGTGTCTACTGTATAAATTAACTGGAACTTGAATTTGAACTTTATGTTTAATAGCTTGTTCTTTTAGAAAGGTACGGTTTTTCATGTTTAGAGCTACTCTCACTGGTACTTAAGGCTCCATTTGCCTAGAAATAAGAATTCAGCATTTGGAATTTAAATAAAAGTTGTATGTTTTGCTTCAAAGTAATATTTGGGGAGGATAGAGATGTGTGTATTCATCTTTTGGGGGCATAGGGAAGTTTATGTGGACAAAGATTGGCTGTATGGTGGTGGTCATTGAGGCAGGATGATTCAGGGGTTTGTTTTATTGTACTTTCAGATTATATTTGAAGATTTTTTTCATAAAAGTAAGAGGGGGGCTTCTGAGAAAATTTAATTTTTGAATTCTTAATGAAAGTTTAAAAAGTATCACTCTTGATGAAACATTGTTGTAGTCACTGTCCTCTATGTATTGTTATTATCATTATCATCATTATTATTACTATTTTAATGATGATCCTGAGAGATATAAATAGGCTAGGAAGATAGAACATTTTATTTTATTTTTTCATTAAGTTTATTGGTACATTTTAGGTGTACAGTACAGTTATATTCATCATTAGGATCTTGTACCTTTACATGATGTATCTTGGTTCTTATTTTTTCCCCTGTTCCCCTGCCCTCCCTTCACCCCCTCCACCCTTCCCTATTAGAACATTTTAGGTGTTTTGTTTGGTTTGGTTTGGTTTGGTACCGGGAATCAAATTCAGGGCCTTGGGCTTGCAAGGCAGGTGGCGCAACCACTGAGCTGAATCCCTGGCCCCCTATTAGAACATTTTAAATGACTGCAGTTTTCAGTTGTTCCTGAATTCTTATGCATTGACTACTTTAAAATAAATGAGTCTCAAACTATGACTTAAACATCATTTCTTCCTTTGAAGACTTATTATGCTGGAAATGCAATTATGGGTTTTTGGGTTTTTGTTTTAACACAGTTTAGTGTAGTATCATAGAACTCTTTACTTTCCCTCTCAAAGCCCTTGATAGGAATTGAAGGCATTTGTTGGTTTAGTCTTACTTGAGTAATAAACTGATTTTTATTTCATTTACAAATTAGAAACTAAGACCTAGAAGCGATTTCCCAGACTTGACTACGAATTTAATAGTGTCTTTTATATTCTAAAATTCTTGCTAAAAGTTACAAATGCATTAAAATGTGTTTTGTTTTTGTTTTTGTTTTTTGGAGACAGGATCTTGCTATGTAGGCCAAGCCTCAGGCTCACTATGTAGGGCCGAGGATTTAGTTCATTGGTCCCATGCCTGCCTTGCAAGTGCAAGGTCCTGAGTTCAGTCACTGGTACTGGTGGGGGAAACTCACCATGTAGCCTGGGCAGGCCTCAAACTCAGATATCCTCCTGCCTCAGCCTCCTGAGTGCTGGGATTACAGGTGTTTACCACCATGCCTGGCCAAAATGGTCATTTTAGAATCAAGGTTATATTTGCTATTTATCCAAGATTATATTTACACTATTTATGTTAAATAATCAAGAACTAGCCAGGCGTGGCCACACGCCTGTAATCCCAGCACTCTGGAGGCTGAGGCAGGAGGATCGCTGTGAGTTCGACACCAGCCTGGGCTGCATAGTGAGTTCCAGGTCAGTCTCAACTACATAGTGAGACCCTGTCTCAAAAAACAAACCAAAAAAACCAAATAATCAAGAACTATGAAGATTAAGGTCCAGAGAGGTGTTAGTGGTGCTTGAAAGAGTTGTTCTTTTTTATAATTTTATTTATTTTCCTTCTTTTCTTCTTAGTTAAGTTCTAAACCCTATGTGTTTTAATATGAGTCATTTAGTTTGGTTGGTTTGGTTTTTGGTTTCTTTAGTGCTGAGGATCAAACCCGGGGCCTTTGTACATTCTAAGTACACACTCTTACTACTGAGCTATACCCCCAGTGTGTATTTTACCTAAAATAGTTGTATTGTGAAATAATCTAGTCAAAGTCTTGGTCACTCAAGAACACATGCTAAGAAAACTGTAAAACAACCGTTATTTTAAAAAAAATATATGATGGCACACACCTGTGTTCCTAGCTACTTAGGAGGCTCCGGTGGGAGGACCTCTGGAGCCCTGCAGCTTGAGGCCAGCTGGACAACACAGACGCCTTGTGGAACTATATGATAGAGATAGTGGATGGGAGAAGGGACATTTTCTCTCTTACATATTGTGGTTACTTTAAGCTTTAAGCTGTAAGTTTAGATTTTTAAACCGGGAGCACAATGGGATCCAAAATAGTTTTCCACAGACTGGATTTTGCCAGCCTGAAATCCACAGACATTGATCTGTTATCATCAGAATTCTGCCGTCCAGCTGTGCTGAGGCTAGGACTCTGGCAAGTTTATTTGGTTTCCTGAATGCCCAGCAGCATTTATCTTCCACACTATACAATTTGGTGTGGTCTGTCCCTTGGTTTCTTTAGAAATCAGCAGGGGGTGGGCTGGGAATTTAGATGAGGATAGAGTTGTGCTAACAACTAGTTTGTTTGACTTTGGATGCCTTATTTCTTTCTTTTTCTTTCTTTCTTTCTTTTCTTCTTTTGTATCTGGAATGAAACTTGGGTCCTTGTGCTTGCAAGACAGGCAGCAGCACCACTGAGCTAAATCCCCAGCCCTGGATGCCTTATTTCTTAGTAAGCCCTGATCACCCAAAACATAAAAATCTTCTGATAATTTGGACTTTAATATCACCCTTTATTTTATATTGGAGTTATTTCAGGTCAGGATTCCCAAAGAGGCTACTTTAAAGAAGGCAGCATAGCCTCTACTCTCAGAGATCTCCATTGGGTCCCAAATTCTTTGGACTAAAACATTGACTGATTTTAGGGGTTGGGGATGAAGCTCAGTGGAGGCCCTAGGTGCAGTCCCCCGCATCAGAGGGGGGCACCCCAAAACACTGATTTTCAAGACATCTCCTTCTTTAGGCAACATAGTTAAATTTCAACATTTGTTGATGAAGCTATTGGGTTGAATTCCTAGCACCACAAAAACAACCTTTAGTAACACATGGATTAAGCACAGTGTTTCCTTCTATAAATTGAGAAGTGTATTTTAATGCCCAGTAGAATAGTAACTACCTCCCTTACAGTGTCTTTTTAACGACTAATGCATTTCTAAGTCGACCGACTGTTAAAATTTAGATGTTTCAGTTTTCAGCAAGTCTTTCATTTTTCTCTTTTGTATCTTGTATTTATATGTTCATTTTTCTAAGAATTTTGTTTCTTTTCTCAGGTACTTACCACCAGAGTGTTTTGTGGTTGGGAAAGAACCACCAAAGATCTCAAATAAAGTGGATGTCTGGTCAGTGGGTGTGATTTTCTACCAGTGTCTTTATGGAAGAAAGGTAAGAAAGAAGGACGGTGCAGCAACTTGACTTCCTTCTGGGTGGCACTTGTATATGGCACCTCCCTATGGATTGATCCTTGGGATAGTTATTGAATTAAACTAACTAGAAAGTAGTGGTTTAAATAAAATACAGACTTAATTATAAAAGCTTTATTTCTAAGCACAAATTCTCAACTGTAGATTACCTAATGAATTCTGCTGGGCTATTCAAAACATGCATCTTTGCTCTTCTCAGTTGGATGCAGGACATTTCAATTCTGATATGTGTAGGTAATTGAATGAAATAAGTTTATTAAAGTGAACAACCTTCCTAAGCGCCATTCTTTTTTAAAAAATTTTTATAAAATTTTATTTTATCCCACCCCCCCAGCCTCCTCCCCTCCCTGTGTACAAAACCTTTGTTTCCATTTTTTCCTTCTATTTTCACTTTTTTTCTTGTCCCTTCCTTTCTCCCTCCCTCCTCCCTGTTTCCCTTCACATTTGAACACTTTCTTCCCAAGGGCCATTCTTAAGGGTCCTAAGTAAGAACTGACATTTGAAACGAAAAGTTTAAAAAAAAAAACAAAAAAAAAAAAACTGAAATTTGAAATGTCCCCGTACTTTTTTTTTTCTAAACACCCTGTTAAAACGGAACCACTAAGCTAAATTCCCAGCCCCATAAGCTCTGTGTGTGTGTGTGTGTGTGTGTGTGTGTGTGTGTGTGTGTGTGAGTGTGTGTGCGCGCGCGCTGGTTTTTGTGTGGTGCCACTGAGTTAAATCCTTAGCCAGAATATGTTAAGTTTAAACTTACTTGCAAGAGTGTATTAGAAAATGATGCATTGGGGCACAGATAAAGCCCTTTTATATTCCCACTTTTTCTGTAGCCCTTCTGTCCTTTGTTCTGTTTTTTTTGGGGGGATGGGCACCGGGATGAACTCGGGCCCTTGCACTTGTGAGGCAGGCATGGGAACCACTGAGCTAAATTCCCGGCCCCACCCTTCTGTTCTTTTACTTCCTTTTCCATCTCTTTTGTCTGCATTGTAGTGCATAGGCCTACAGGTGCCAGAGTAAAAGAGGTCATTGCTTCCTGCTCAGAATCTATTTTGCTGGGAGCCAAGTTTGAAGCAAGAGATGCTGCTTCTGATTTCTGCTCTGCTTTGACCTAGTCCTTAACCTGTGAATGTCTCCCTACCCACGACACCCCCAACCCATGAAAAGAGAAAAGTGGAAGAAAATGTTTCTGGAATTTCCTCCAGCCATGATCAGATGTCTCCTCTCCTTTCCCACTGGTACTGATTCTCTTTAATTTTAATCAGAGGCCCGCTATTATTTGCTTGTTTGTTTTATGTTTCTGTTACAGCCTTTTGGCCACAACCAGTCCCAGCAGGACATTCTACAAGAGAATACTATTCTTAAAGCTACTGAAGTACAGTTCCCACCGAAGCCAGTTGTAACACCTGAAGCAAAGGTAGGTTTGACCCACGGACCAACAGGAATGACTGCTTTGCTTTCTGTGTTATTTCTTGGGGTAATAGGTGAATTTCTCAATATGAAATTTAGCGGTTACGAAAAACAGGATAGGGATGAATTAATATTCCTAAAAACAACAGACAGAAGAATATTGCCTTTATGCTCTGCCCCCTCCTCATCTGCCCATCCACTAAAAGGAATGTTGACAGATAGGCTTTCTATTCTAAGCTTCTTAGAGTCAGGCAGGGAAGGAAGAGCAGACTACCCAGCAAAGAAACAGAGTTTACCAGCCACTGTGGGCAATAGGAAGAATCCTCAGCTTTGTCCTTATTCAAGGAGTATGATCAGTTTTGGGGTGCTGAAGCCCACATGAGAGAAATAATAGGGCTAAGGCACCAGTCCAGTGGTACATGTGTATACCCTACCTACTCAAGAGGTTCAGGCAGGATGGATATCTACCTGGAGGCTAGCCTAGGCAACATAGCAAGATTTCATCTGAATAAATAAAAACGTTGGACCCTTGACTTAGGAACTTAACTGGTTCTTGAGGGCTTATTGTAATTCAAATTGGCGGAATTGAAGGCACTGGCTCTACACAGCCTTTAAGGTTCTCTTCTCTCTCTCTCTTGTATAGAGGCAGATCTCAGTGTCCTTAGGACATTGGCCCAGGATTTCTCATTAACCCCACATAGGATGTTCCTTCCAGAACTCTTTTAGGTTAAATCTGTATCTGAGACCATCTGAATAGAAGTGGCTGGCATTTGGATTGTAACTTAAGACTTTGGTCGTATGTTAAAACTAAAATTACAGTCATAACCCAAGTTATTCATATGTCAGGCCAGTCACTATTCAAGGGGCCACTTGTAGGTGGATAAGTGGGTGGAACTAAGGTGTTATCGATTAAATAGTGCTGAGCGCTAAGCAGTAAATTCTTTAAAGCAGTTGGTCAGATAAGGTCATTCCTAAAAATATACTGGGACCAGTGTGTGGTAGCACACTCCTGTAATCTCAGCTGCTTGGGAGGCTGAAACAGAAGGATCACAGGTATGGGGTTAGCTTGGGGAATTTAGTGAGACCCTGTCTCAGAATCTTAAAAAAATAAAATCCAGGCATGCAGCACATGCCTGTAATCCTAGAAATTGGGAAGCTGAAGCAGGAAGATTGCTGCAAATCAAGGCAAGCCTGATCTATGTAGTGAGACCCTGTCTCAAAAAACAAACAAAAATAAAGTGCTGTGGGTATAGTTCTGTGCAGAGACCTTGGGATTGATGACTAGTACCTAGCCACATGTGGTGGTACGCTTCCAGCACTCTGGGAGGCCGAGGTAGGAGATTCACAAATTAGAGCCCAGCCTACACCACTCAGCAACTTAGCATGACCCCATCTCAAAATAAAAAGGGTTAGGGATGTAGGTCAGTACAAAGGCCCAATTCAATCCCCAATCTTGCCCCATCCCCCAGGGGGGAAAAAAAGGTAAAACTAGGGCAACATGCAATGGGAGGTGGGCACAGAAACTATAATTGCTCTGTTACTTACTTTTTTCTGTGTATTAACCAGTCCTACTTAGATTGGTGGTCACCTTCATTGAATGCCATGGCCATTCAGCAATTTTAAAGTTCAAGCAAGCTGCAAGTCTTAGCTCCGTTTACCAGCATTTGGTTTCAGCTTTTTCCTCCAAATGCACCTGTGTGAAGTTTTAGGAAAGAGCTGCTTTTCCAGGTGGCCTACCTGACATGTTATATGGAAAGAAAGAACATCTTTCGCAGTAGTTTATAATTTCTTACTTCCTGTCCCCATTGTTCAGCAGGTTAAGTCCTCTATAACCAAGATACTAAAACTGCAAGGGAGAAATTCTATAGCATATTCCTAAGGCAGATGCTGTTTTCCTGTGAGAGGGCTGAAGAAAGCCTCAGTGTTGAAGCCTGACAGACTTAATTTTGATTGTGCTGCTTTCAGTAGCAGTGTGTCCTTGGGTCATTTTGCCTAAACCTTCTGAGAGGCTTTTCCTGAGGCCAAAGCACCTACCTACTGTACATGCTGGTTTTGAGGCTCCAGTGGCTTGGCTCACCTGCCTCTTCAATAGTTTCTGCAATTTGCCTTTACTGTTGGTGTCCCAGCCACCACCCAGAGTGACACCTAGGACTTGTTGCCTAACAGATATTTAATTCTTATCTGTCAGGTCTCTACAGAGTGTTTATACCACTTTTGTCAGATGTTGGCATTTATTCATTAAATAGATGATAGAATGTTTCAAAAAAAAACCTTAGAATGATAGAATGAATAGAGAAAAATCTCCAGATCTTCCCACTAATTGTCTCTACTATTCCGCATCTTCCTCCTTCTAAATATGTATATCTCCATCCCCTACCCTCTTCTCTTCCTCTCCCACAGCAAATACTGAGTGCCTATTGGTCACTAGACACTGTTCTAGGTAGTGGAGATGGAACTGTGAATATGTAGCAATATACTACACAGACAAGGTCCCTGCCCTTAAGCAGCTTACATTCCACTAGGTGAGACAATACAAAATTGGATACATTTCAGATGATTATAAATGTTATAAGCAAAATCAAAGTAAAGGGGAGTTGAGGAGGGGGAACCTCTTCTTGATGGCATGTTTGGGGAAGGCCTTAATGATAAGTGACATTTTGAGCAATGTCTTGAAAGATATGAAGGTGGGAGCCATGTGTAGATTGGGGAGGAGGGGTTCCCTGCGGAGATCGGTGAGCTCAGCTCAAGTGTGGGCATGAGCTTACTTACAGGTATACCATTCAGGCAAGGCAGAGAGGAGAGGGACAGAATAGGCCCAGTGCAGTGCCATTGTTTGTTGCTGTTTTTGAGATAGGGTCTAGCTATATAGTTTAGACTGGCCTTGACCTCACTATGTTCCCCAGGCTGGCCTTGAACTTGTGGTAATCCTCCTGCCTCAGCCTCCTCTGAGTGCTGGGATTATAGGCGTGCACTACCATGCCTGGACTATTTTGTTGTTCTGTTTTGTTTTTGGCATCAGGGATCAACTCCAAACCTTGTGCTTGTGAGGCATTTGGAGACACTGAACCACATCCCTGGTCCTTGTTTTGTTTTGTTTTATTCATTAAGTTTATTGGTGCATTTTAGATATTCAATATGGTAACATTTATCATTGGGAATTTGTACCTTTACATGATATATCTTTGTTATTATTGTTGTCCCCATTCCCCTGCCCTCCTTTCAACCCCTCCACCTCTCCTTATTTACAAAGACTTTGTTGTTTTGTTTTGTTTTGAGACAGAGTCATGTTATGTAGTTCAGGTTGCCCTTGAACTCATTATGTAGGCTAGAATGAACTGAAACTCCTAGTGATCCTCCTGTCTCAGCCTCCAAGGTGCTGGGATTACAGGCGTGCATCACCACGCCTGGCCCAGTGCTGGGCAGAGGGTGTAATCAGGATTACTGTGTGATCTGATTGCTATGTAAAGAGAAAATTCAAGGTTATGTGCAAGGTTTTTTTGACCCAAGAGAACCATTTTAACTCCAGTTCCATATGGGAACCTTCAGAAAGTTTCAGCCTAAGAGGCCAGGGGTCCTTATGTTCATTATTATAAATTTGTTGTATCTTCCAAACACTTTAATCAAGGAAGTATCTATACAGGCCTTTAATTTTGAAAACTAAGACTTAGCGTTATACCTTTATGTTTTGTTAAACATGAAAAAATCAATAGTTTATGTTTTAAATTTTGTTGTAAATGGTACTTTTTAGAGCAATTTTACATTCACAGCAAAACTGAGCAGAAAATACACAGCTCCTCTGTACCACTAGTCCCTCTTCCACAGACCTCCCCTCGTACCATGCTTGGGTGCTATCTTTGTTATCACTGATGAGCCTTCATTGGCATATCATTATTGCCCTACTGTAAAATGTTGGCTTTTTGTAATAATACTTAATTTTTTAAATGATTAATTTATTTTAAATAGTTATATTATAAAATTTTAAGTATAAATAGAGTTGCCTGGTTAAAAAATAAAAAGAAACCCAGCAAGAAAAGACAAATAGTCTATAAAAGGCCTTTATGACAAGTGTAGAAATAAAACTACATAGCCTTTTATACCTAATGGAAAGAAAACTTCCGTGTCAGTAATAAATTTGAATTGCCTGTCAGACTCGGCCTGTTATGTCTGTAGTATTCTTGGGGATACAGTCCTATTCTCCTTAGTAAGTACCTGATTGTTCGTTTAATGACCTTTCAGAGGAAAATGAGATTCATAGGAGAAGGATTTCACAGCTTTGTAATATCAGTCTTTGTTAGTTCCTTACACTGCATATGGTCGTAGTATAAGCTTAGAATTTCCACTTCCCTGAGAGGTTTACGTGAGGCCATGGTTTGTCACCCATGAAGTTAGACTGTTTCCATCCAAACCAGCCAAGCCAAAGAGATCGTTGATCTCAGTGCTTTGGGGGCAGGAATATTTAGAAGCCATACCTCCCTTCCTCAGGAAAAGCTCAGCTTCCTGTAGTGAGTCATTAACAGTAGAGCAGTGCTACTGCCAGTGTTGACCCCTTGATGTCTTTGGGTCTGCTTGGCGGTTTCCAGAAAGGCCTTAAGTGCCTTCTTTTTAGGAGCTGTTTGCCCTGGGCCCTGGCCACAGATCAAGAGCCTCAAGTAGACTCCGGGATGCTAGAATTATCTGTCTCAGTCTTCTACAAGAAACTTTGTTTTGCAGGCGTTTATCCGGCGATGCTTGGCCTACCGAAAGGAGGACCGCATTGACGTCCAGCAGTTGGCCTGTGACCCCTACTTGCTGCCTCACATCCGAAAGTCGGTCTCCACAAGTAGCCCTGCTGGAGCTGCTATTGCATCAACCTCTGGGGCATCCAATAACAGTTCTTCAAATTGAGACTTATTCCAAGGCCACAGACTGTTGTTCAGCACATGAAGTAGACAAGCGGCACTCAGCAGCGGGTTTGGAACATAGCGAATCCGAATGGATCTCATGAAACCTGTACCAGGTGCTTTTATTTTCTTGCTTTTTTTCCATCCATAGAGCATGACAGCATCGATTCTCATTGAGGAGAAACCTTGGGCAGCTCTGGCCAGGCCTCGCAGGAAAAGGCCCCATCCAAGGTTCCAGCGTCAATGGCCACTGTGTGTGGCTGCTCTGAGTGAGGAAAAAAATTAAAAAGAAAAACTGGTTCCAAGTACTGTGAACTTGAATACTTACAGACTCAGGGGGGTCCCTGATGCAATGCTTCAGATGAAGAATGTGGACTTGAAAATACAGACTGGGCTAGTCCAGTGTCTATATTTAAACTTGTTCTTTTCTTTTAATAAAGTTTAGGTAACATCTCCTGAAAAGCTTGTAGCACAAAGGCTCAGCTGGGGATGGTGTTTGACTTTGGAGGAAAAAAGTTGCTATTGCCCATTAAAGGCACTAGAGTTAGTGTTTTATCCCTAAATAATTTCAATTTTTAAAGACATGCAGCTCCCCTCTCCCCCTTTTTTATTTTTGAAGGAATGCATTTGGTCATAAAGCGAAACCCGTATTACAAGTACGTGGCAGTGTTCATTCCAGTCAGATGCAGCTTTCTCCTCCGCCTGGTCTCCTGCTTACAGTTGCAGCCCTCATCTCAGTGGGGAAAAAGGGCGTGGGAGTACTGAGATGTGTGGATTCTGCCGTTGGACAAAGAATGAGGTTAGAAGACTGCAGCTTGGAGTCTTGCTAGGTTTTCAACTATTTCTTCACAATTTGAACACTTGACGGTTATCCCTTTTAATTTATTTGAAGTGCTATTTTTTTAAATAAAGGTTCATCTGCCCATGCAGTCCTCCTGGATTCTCTGAGTGTAGTAACGATCGATACTGTTCCAAAGGTAGGCAGAAAACGGGCTGGAAAGACAAAATGCTCTGGGGATTGATAGTTCCTACCCACAGTCTTTGTGTGCTTGCTAAATGGTGTACATTTCTTGTTAACCATGTTATTAAAACTTGATTAGTACATAAGCTTTCTTCTGTTAGATCTTTTGGCAGGAAACAACCTTTCCCCAGTCCTCTAAATTTGGTGGGTGTGTGCTGGTGTGTCTATGTGTGTACGTACACACACTTTGTCTAACTTTAATAGATTTATCAAGTGGAATTTTTTAAAAAAAGAAAAGTATTTCGGCTATGAATGTTGTTTTGGAACTGATTTTTATAAATATTTGGTTGTTTCTGAGATCAACTGAAGATGGAGCTGAAATGGGAGACGCAGGGCTACACCGTGCCCTTGAAACAGCAGAGCGCTCGGCAGGAGAGGGAAGGAGGCCAGAGCCTGAACATGTGGTAGCCAGCTTGGAATGTTACTGACATATGTGGCAAGAGTGCTCAGCCAAAAATATTTAAAGATACAGTGTTCAGGCCTGTGAGTTCTCCGGGCAGGGGGTAGTCAGGAAGGGCAGAGAGCTCTCAAAGAACTCTTGATTCCAGTGTTTCTTTTCCATGTAAAAATGACACATTTTCTAGGCCTGTTGTTTCTTAACATGGGCCTGTCCTCCATCTAAATCTAAATCTAAATCAGTCAGGCAATCTGAAAGGAAGGTGGAGCATTCCAAAATAAGAGAAGTACCTGGGAAGTTTTATTGTCATGTAGAGCTCGGAAGAAGGTCAGCCCCGGAGGTCTTGGGGCACCCCGCTTTTTAAAAACTATTTTCTGATATATTTTCCTTCCTCCCTTTCTTCCTTCCTCCCTCCCTCCCTCCCTCCCTTTCTTCTTCTTCTTTACATTGCTAGGGCTTGAACCCAGGCCTTGTGCATCCTAGGCATGTGCTCTATCCCTAGCACTACTTTTTTGTTTGTTTTTGTTTTATGAGCCATTGTCTCCCTATGTAGTTCAGGCTAGCCTCGAAATTGCATGATCCTCCTGCCCCAGCCTCCTGAGTGCTGGTATTACAGGTGTGCACCACCATACCTGTGTGCCTTTTTTGCTTCTTCTTCTCTAGTAATTTTACTCTTTAGTGATGGTTCATCTCCCATGCCTTTTCTACTGCTGAGGGTGGAACCCAGGGCCTTTCCACTGAGTTATATCCCCAGCCCTTATTTATTTTATTTTATTTTTTTATTTTGGGACATGGTCTTACTAACTGAATTACTCAAGCTGGGGCAATCCTCTTGCCTTAGCCTCCCAGAGTGCTTGGAGGCATTTTACCACTATGCCTAGCTTTTTAATTTTTTAAAGTTTTGTTTTTTAATTTGTAACTTTTTAAAGTGTATGTGCTGCCAAAGTGAGCACAGATTTTTCACTTTTTAAGATTAAAAAATGGTGCATTTCTAGGCCTCCCTTCTAACTTAATTGCCTCCATTTTTCCCATGGTCTTACAAGCGAAACTAATATGCCCGGGGTTCCATTTTTGGAATGGCACTTAAGAGTAAAACATAATGAAAATTTTTCTCTTCAAATTTTTGTTCCCTGAATTTTTCTAGGTAGCATACATGAATTTCATGCAAAAATTCAAAAAATTGCACCCTTCAGCATAAATGGGTTAATTTGTCAATCTGTCTTTTCTCCCTTCATCCTGAAGAAAAGCACCTTCTCCCCTTGCTTTGATTGGGTCTGACTGGCTGAGCCTGGGCAAGACATCTTTCCACTGTGTGGGCCAGCCCCTGAAAACGTGCAAACCACTGACCTTTTCTAGTCCTCAAAGGAGCCAGCAAAGCCACAGAGTGGGGTTCTCCAGTGACATACTCTGTTAACATGGGTTCTGCTTTCTCAAAGATAGTCCCTTATTGCCACAATGTTGATTTACTTTACACAATGACAAAAATGTGTATTAATTTGTAATTAAACCCAGACGTACTGTTTTGGACTTTCCCATACAGGGGGGTGGAGGGAAGGAGGATATTAAAATAAGTTTTCCAAAGATAATTTCCCAGTCTCTTGATTTTCCTATAGTTCCCAAAGAGGGCCCTCCTGTGGTGTGTACAAGTAGAGCGGAATCCTGGCAGCTGGAGTCCCCCTGGCGTGATGGGAATGTTGGTTTATGCAATACCTTCTGTGCTTCCAGTGCACCAAGAACTGGGCTTGTGGGTGGAAACAGGGTAGGTGAGGCCCAGTTATCAGTTCCCAGTCTAGGAGCAGGTGCTCCAGGCTCAGGAAGAGATGGAATACACGTGTCTGAGGAAAAGAAATTGGGCTCTTCCATCCTGAAACTGGCAACTTTTAAGTGGAGAATAACCCAAAAGAGCTACACATCATGCTTCTGTGGCTGGCTGAGGTGAACAGCTCCTTCCCCCAGGTCTGGGAAGGAATCTCTTTCTTTCAACATGAATTAACAGTTTGTAATTTTAAAAATAGCTCTCTTTAAACATAGTTATCTTGTAGACTTCTAGAGCTTCATTCTTCCAAGAAGGCAGTTACCACTAATTTGACCTACCTTCTTTCTTTCTGAGCATCTTTGCTTCACCATTCAAATTGCTCAAGGTATGTTTTCCTTCTTCAGGCATGATCACTCAGAGTTAAAAGCCCGAAATCAGATCTAGAATTAAATCCTACCTCTGTAATCTTAGGGGTATCTCCTTGCATTGTGTGTAAGATGGGTACATGGCTGGCCCGTAAGAGGGGCATTAAAAAATTGATTAAAAAAAAAAAGATGGCAAGACTCATTAAGTGAAAGAACTGTCTTGGAACCCCCATGTTCACTGATTCAAGGTTCAGCGGCTTCTGCTTGCCACAGGGGTGAGGAGATCCTCTGGTCTTGGGTTGACACAGACCTTTTCAGAGATTGCCCATTACTTGTCATTCAGCATCAGTCTCTGTCTTACAAGGTCAACAGATTTCCTACCCAGGCTCCAAGAATGTTTCTGGCAGAGTCTGAGGGAGACTCCTTACACGGTAGTGGTTCTGAGAGTGACCCAAAGCTTCAACATCGCCTGGGGAGTTGTTAGAGATGCATCTTCCATTAGGTTCTCCTCACTGCTGGTTAGAAACTACCATCGAGGTAGGACCTAGCTTTCTGATGTCATCTCCAGGTGCTGCCAGTGAGGCTTGTTTGAGAACAAAGCTGCAGGCTGACTCCCGGGTGGGATGAGCCCAGAAGGATGCAAGTCCTGCCCCAACTATTTGCCGACCACTATAGTCGGGACAGGGTCATCGGAGAAGGTGGCTGTCAGCAAGAACTGCCACTGAGCTACATCCCCAGCCCTCAGGCCTCTTCTGAACTCACCCAGCTGGAAGACAGAGATGAGTCCTTTTTTATGTTCTACACTGGGGATAAAAAATTGTTTTAAGCCCTGGGCTCCTAGAACTGTTGTCATACATAGCTACTTTTGTGGGGAGCAGCAGGAGGGACCTAAACACTGCCCTTACAAAGATACATAACCGTACACACAGGAACCATTCACTCCTGTGGACAAAACTTCTCACCCTTGGCCTTCTCTTAAAACGCTAACAACTCGGTATCTTGTGAATTAACTTTTCATGTCTTCTCTTTACTTGAAGGGGCCAGGGCTGCAGGAGAGATCTGGCTGAGATAGGAGTCTGCTTCTGAATAGTAAAAGAAGCCTGGATCAGGGGTGAGGAGAGCTGGGGCTGGACTGCAGCTCGTTGGAAGTTTGGGATGAGTGAGTAATGAGAGAGCTTGCAGGGAGAAGAGGAGGACTAAGGAGGGAATGGTGCTTGTGAGCTCTGTGGGTGGAAGAGAGGAACCTGCCAGAGGCTGAGAAAATAGGCAAGCCTGGGAACAGGTCTGGGACCTGCTGGATGCAGGAAATACAAGAGTGCAATTGTGCTGGAGTCAGTGAAGCGATGTGTGCATGTGAGGCGATGGGCTGAAGACCCCTTGGTGAGTAGCCTGCTGACTGACTCAGCCCCAGCCTGCTGGCCCTGGGTCAGGCCTCCTGGTGTGATGGGAAGAGGCTAGCTAGAGAGCTGTGCTGTCCTCAGCCTGCCAGCCTCAGGGAGCAGCCTGCACTACTGGCTGTTCCCTGAATGGCCCACGCCTTCTCACCCTGGAGGCTGCTTAGAGGTGGGCACACAGGGCAGTGTTGCCAAAAGGGGAAGGGGACTTTCTTTGCCAAGAAGTGTCTCAGGTGTGTTGCTTCACAGGTAAGACACAGGCAACGTAGGAACATCTCATGATTTTACAGACAGGCACACGAAGGCCCAGAGAGGTTTGCTGACAGCAGTGGGTGGAGCTGCAGTGACTGGGAAGGGGACTACAGGTTTTGTGTAGTGGATCCTTTGAGTGGCATGTTTGGGCAGAGGTGAATGTAGACAGTGCCACTTGGGCTCCCAGGCTCCCGTATCTGCCCCAGTCCTGTTACTGTGTCCCTCCTCTGCCTCCTGGCTAGTGGCCCTCAAAAATGTACTTGGAGGTCCAGCCAGTGTGGGTAACAGCCCTGCTTGTGCAGTCCTCAACGGGGAATGAACTTAAGTGGGAAAGGGGGCGTGGCTTCAGACCATTAGCACCACAGGGTCCCTAAGATCTGATCTTGCTGTCTTGTTTACAGATTAGGAAGCCATAACCCAGCTCTGCTTCTTCCTACTCCTTTGTTTCCTGATTGGATAAATTGGAATGGGGCCCCTGTGTCCTGACTTCTTTGAAGTTGTTGTAAGGCTTTAAGAGAATGCGGGAAGAAACAGGATGTAGCTAGGTGCCATCTATGTGTCCCAGTGACTCCTGAAGCAGTGTCCACAGGACACAGAAGATGACCCTAGGGTGGGCCTTGGAGTGACAGAGCCTTTTAGCCTGGCTCCCGGACCCCACGACAAGGGCCTGCCACTGAAAAGATGAGAAGGAAAGTATGTACCCCAAAACTAATTT